ATTCCTGAAAATTTCAAATTTCTATTTTGCGCAGTTTCTTCGGAGTAGGACAGACCGGAATTGCAGAAAAACGTCAAAAATACGTCATATTTGGCGACCGGAAGTGAAATTATGAAAAATGAAAAAAACGTCCCGAGGGAACATCGTTCCCTATCATCTCCGAAAGTTTCATAAAAATCCACTGAACCGTTACTGAGATACCGGTGTAGGAAAATAATAATAATAATAATAAGAACTAGATGCGATCTCGTTGCGAGCAACGAGTGGGTCTTCCGTCCGATTTTTGATAAGATGAGATACGAATTTGACTGAGATTTTCGTTCATAAATGTATAAATAGTGAAAACGTACAATTTGCTTCAGTGATGTTTAACAAAATTTTGATCATTATGGTACCAGAAAACGTAATATTTGATGAAGATTTTAAAATATTTATAGTAGCACATCGTGAAGATGAACATTACTGTAAAAGGGTTATAGATGAAAGACTTTTAGCCCCTCTGAGCCCCTAATTCGAGGGGTCTTGATATCACATGAAAGGTCTTGTAATTCTGAAGAATTTTCGTTCAACAACTATTCAGTTTTCGAGATATGTAGACTTGAAATATTTAGGGGCCATCCCTTTAAGTCCTGATAGGGGCTGTTTGGGGAAAATACAAAGGATGCACATTGTTCAGATCATCATTCTAAACAACTTTTGTTCAATATTGCTTTTCAAAATGTTTCCCCTTTTCGAGATACAAAGCGTCAAAGATTAAGCATTCTGGCCCCTTATGGCCCCTAATGACGTAATATTTGAAGAAAATTTTAAAATATATAGTTGCAGATTGTGAAGATGAACATTTTTGCTTCAATATTTAATATCAAAATATTTAACGTTAAGGAGTTATAGATGAAAGACTTTTGGCCCCTCTAAGCCCCTAATTTGAGGGGTCAGCCCCTTTTTCTTGAGATCACTTGAAAGGTCTTGTAATTCTGAAGACTTTTTGTTCAACAACTATTCAGAAGTTTCGTTTCGTTTTTGAGATATGTAGACTTGAAATATTTAGGGGCCGTCCCTTTAAGTCCTTATAGGGGCTGATTAGGAAAAATTCAAAGGATGCACATTGTTCAGATCATCATACTAAACAACTTTTGTTCAATATTGCTTTTCAAAATGTTTCCCCTTTTCGAGATACAAAGCGTCAAAGATTAAGCATTCTGGCCCCTTATGGCCCCTAATGACGTAATATTTGAAGAAAATTTTAAAATATATAGTTGCAGATTGTGAAGATGAACATTTTTGCTTCAATATTTAATATCAAAATATTTAACGTTAAGGAGTTATAGATGAAAGACTTTTGGCCCCTCTAAGCCCCTAATTTGAGGGGTCAGCCCCTTTTTCTTGAGATCACTTGAAAGGTCTTGTAATTCTGAAGACTTTTTGTTCAACAACTATTCAGAAGTTTCGTTTCGTTTTTGAGATATGTAGACTTGAAATATTTAGGGGCCGTCCCTTTAAGTCCTTATAGGGGCTGATTAGGAAAAATTCAAAGGATGCACATTGTTCAGATCATCATACTAAACAACTTTTGTTCAATATTGCTTTTCAAAATGTTTCCCCTTTTCGAGATATAAAGCGTCAAAGATTAAGCATTCTGGCCCCTTCTGGCCCCTAATTACGTAATATTTGAAGAATATTTTAAGATATATAGTTGCAGATTGTGAAGATGAACATTTGTGCTTCAATAATTAATATCAAAATATTTAACGTTAAGGAGTTATAGATGAAAGACTTTTGGCCCCTCTGAGCCCCTAATTTGAGGGGTCAGCCCCTTTTTCTTGATATCACTTGAAAGGTCTTGTAATTCTGAAGACTTTTTGTTCAACAACTATTCAGAAGTTTCGTTTCGTTTTTGAGATATGTAGACTTGAAATATTTAGGGGCCGTCCCTTTAAGTCCTTATAGGGGCTGTGTAGGAAAAATTCAAAGGATGCACATTGTTGAGATCATCATTCTAAACAACTTTTGTTCAATATTGCTTTTCAAAATGTTTCCCCTTTTCGAGATATAAAGCTTCAAAGATTAAGCATTCTGGCCCCTTGTGGCCCTTATTTATGTAACATATGACGTAAAAATCATAATATATAGTTGTAGTTTGTTAAGATAAATAATTTTGCTTCAGTAATGTATACAAAAATATTGCTTGTTTAAGAGTTATCGATTAAAGACTTTCGGCCCCTATTGGCCCCTAATGTGATGAGTCAGCCCTTTTTTCTTGGTATCATGTTACAGATCTTTTTATTCTGCACAAATATTGTTCAACATGTTTTAACAAAATAATTATACTTTAAAAGATATGATACAAAATGTCTCAAAAATTCACTCATGATTCGTGTCCTAAATTTCGACCCCTACCGAGCTTCCATACTAGCCACTTCCGGAAAATATCTAAACCCAGGTGCAATATGGCAAGATGTCCTCTATCATCACTGAAAATTTCAGCGCTCTAGCTTAAGCCGTTTTTGAGTTCCATCGCAGACAAGGAGGTGCTCTGAATTTTAATAAAAGGGCGATAACTCTAGACCGGAAGTAAATATCCCTTCACGGACTTGCCGGAATTAACTTCAAATGTCAACGCATCTACCTTGAAAATTTGAATGAAATCGAACGAGCCATCTCCGAGAAATCCTCTGCACAAATTTTGTAAGGAGAAAAAAGAATAATAATAATAATAATAATAATAATAAAGGTAAAAAAGAAACCTAAGAATAATAGAAGGGTCTTCCGCTGAAGACGGAAGACCCTAAAAAGAAACAGTACAATAATAGAAGGGTCTTCCGCTGAAGACGGAAGACCCTAATAATAATAAGAAGAAGAAGAAACCGAGTAAAAACAATATGTTCCCAAACTTCGTTTGGGGAACATAATATCAACAGGGGATGTGTATATACAGAGTTACGAGTGTTGACGTTTTCAGTCACCCACTATGATTCAATTAAGATGGTAAAATTTGAAGAAGAAAAAAAAGATATGTTTACAATAATATATCACAAAATTTTATCAAAATCAATAGCATCAAGACGTACAACTTTTCAACACATTACATTACCATTCCCCACGATAAATTAAAGACCAGGCTTTTTGACATAATAGACAACTGCTTCTTCAATAAAAATGGAACACGTAAATTAACATACCTTGCCATTGGTCATCTGCACACTTATTTTGATTAAAAAAAATTATGATTCTAAGGACATGGACTCAGAGGTTGATATTAAAAGATGCTCGAGTTTCTCCTGGACTTTAATTCATCGTGGGGAATTGTTGTATAAAGTGTTGAAAAGTTATATATTTTGATGTTATTGATTTTGGTAAAATTTTGTGATTTGAAATTTTCTAAAAGTTCCTTGGAGTTTTTAAGTATTCACATTTGATTTACACCACTTATTGAATAGATTGTTGTAAAGTACTCCTGAAATTTCTCTTCACTGGTGTTAATATTTTAGTGAGGGGCAAAGAAAGAGGTTTTGTAGAACATTTCCTGAAACCCACTATGTATCTTTTTTGTAAGGATTTTTATGAAGTTTAAGAATATATTAGATTTAATCAATAGGTGTGATTCTAGTATAGATCCGAACAAAAAAAAAAATACTGGCATAGTTCTGATATGTCAGACTTCTTATTCAACATGCATTCTGAGAGTATTGCATTAGCAAACTTAATCTATAACTAATGAAGGTAAAGTCACATACAAAAAATCAGCTCAATATCTGTAAACGTTTAGAAAAAAAATGCGGAAAACCCTTAAAAATTGAAAAGATCGTAATTCCGTCAAAAATCAATGAAGCGGAACGAAATGCAAACTTGATCTGTAACTCATCAAGATACGCTCACATACCAAAAATCAGCTCAATATCGGCAAGCGATTATGAAAAAAGTGCGGAAAACCAAGTGGGACAGACTGACAGACAGACAGAGGGACAGACAGACAGACAGACAGACGGATGGACAGACTCAGAGGAAACCTATAGTCCCCTCCGGTTTCACCGGTAGGGGACTAATAGGCAGAGTTCTGATATGCCAGACTTACTTATTCAATAGGCATAGTTCTGATATGCCAGACTTACTTATTCAATAGGCATAGTTCAGATATGTCAGACTTACTTATTCAATAGGCATAGTTCTGATATGCCAGACTTACTTATTCAATAGGCATAGTTCTGATACATGTCAGATTTATTTAATCAAAAGGCATAGTTCTGATATATAAAGATTTCATTCATTAATAGGCATACCCTGATATAAAGATTTACTTAAGCAATTTGCATAGCCTGATATGAAGACTTACTGAAGCAATAAGCATAGATATAATATATAAATAAACAGGAAGAATTCTAAAATGTCATACTTACTCAATAGGAATAGTTCTGGTATAAGTCAGACTTACTTATTAAATAAGCATAGTTCTGGTATATTTCAGACTTACTTAATCAATAGGCATAGTTCTGATATATGTCAGACTTACTTAATAGGCATAGTTCTGGTATATGTCACACTTAATAGGCATAGTTCTGGTATATGTCAGACTTACTTAATAGGCATAGTTCTGATATATGTCAGACTTACTTAATAGGCATAGTTCTGGTATATGTCACACTTATTAGGCATAGTTCTGGTATATGTCACACTTAATAGGCATAGTTCTGATATATGTCAGACTTACTTAATAGGCATAGTTCTGGTATATGTCACACTTAATAGGCATAGTTCTGATATATGTCAGACTTACTTAATAGGCATAGTTCTGGTATATGTCACACTTAATAGGCATAGTTCTGATATATGTCACACTTAATAGGCATAGTTCTGGTATATGTCAGACTTACTTAATAGGCATAGTTCTGGTATATGTCACACTTAATAGGCATAGTTCTGGTATATGTCAGACTTACTTAATAGGCATAGTTCTGGTATATGTCACACTTAATAGGCATAGTTCTGGTATATGTCAGACTTACTTAATAGGCATAGTTCTGGGCTGTATCTGTAGAAGTAGATTCTTGATCATCCAGACCTGGAATTACAGTAAACATCATTGTCTTAGTCTTGATAACTGTACTTATCAATTATACCTAAATAAATTAAATGTTTCTATATTAGGACAACATATTATCATTTAACTTCAAAGTTCTAATAATATTATAGAATTTTGTAAATTAAGCAAATATTTGTATTAAGCAACACAGCTTATTGTAAGCTGTATTTCTTTTCATACATATGTATACATAATAATTCTGTACATTTATTCCTGCACAGTATATGCTGATTTGTAAGTATAAGTAATCTATATCTACAGAAGACAGAGACTGTGAGAGACAATCTGAAGATAAAGCTTCACATGTAGATTTTGTTACCACTCAATTATTGTGTATTTGCTTTTCAAGGCAAATAAAAAAGAAATTGAATAAACTTGATTACTTGCTATTATATAAATCTGTCATGTGTACTAGCAAAAGATGGGCAAACAAGGCGAGCGAAATGCCTAAGGTGCAACAAACATAAAGGTGAAAAATTAAATATCAATTTTAGCAAAATTTTTTTCTTTGATATTTCATCTAACATTAAAGTATACTATATGTAAAATCTCCACAATTTGCAAAAATCTCACAAAGATTGATATTTATTTGCCTATGAAATAGCATACACACACTAGAGAGGGCAAAAAGGATCATTATCTGATATTATAACACAATTTTTCCGTATGAGTGGGTTTTCACTTCACTTTTTTTGAAAGTTTATCCTCAAAGTATGAGTAAAAATATAAGTAATGAAAACTTTACTCTAAATACTTAATTCACAAATTTAATATGATTTTTATATATCTAAAGCTATAGGCATTTTGCACGCCTTGTTCGCCCACCTTCTTACTTTCAGGTTCGATGTGGATGAAACTTTTACATGCAAGTTTATTATGAAAAGTAGTAAAACACATTCAAACAAAAGTAAAAGCAGTTGAAATCACTCTCAGTATATCAACTATTCTGCTACTGAAACATCTAATTAATCTATAATCTAATGTAAAATTTGCATCGAAAGAGCATGCTATTAAACTAATGACACAGCAATAACTGGAAGTTGGCTGATGATGAACAATCTGCACAAATCTAGTTGTTACCACGCAAGCATACGATATACCGTGGTATTTGTGATTAAAGGACTTGGAGTAAAAGTCCGTGATTTGTGAGGCCCGTGGGGCTAGCCTGGAGCGTCGGGAATGAGGTCGAGGTCGATTACTACCTGATTGAGCATGCGCAGGAGCAGTGTGTGGGCGGTAAACGTTCATAACCATGGAAGCATCGGTTCCAGGAATAATTTCCTCGCCAGGACCAGGGTACCTAAATTAAAAAAAAATCAAGTTCATTTCATTAAAAAACAAGAAATTCTCTAAGAGACAAATCATATTCATTTCATAATATCACTATTTACTTGAAAGATAAATGAGTTATCCTTCTTGACTTACCAAGGATTTTGATAGAGATGCGAATGTCTGTTTTCACATTCTTGTCGGAAGTCTCCCAACTGTTATAAAACGATAATAATTTACACAATATTACTATAAATCAAATATTAATATTACATTAAAGTAATGTTTCAAAAATATCTAATTCATTTAGACTGAACTTCGATTGAAAAACAGGCATGGATGCCTTATACAATAAACATTTCTGAAATTACATATAAGTATTGAACAAAATTATTCATATAGAATAAATCCAGAAAAAGGGAAAGAAAGAAAGAGAGAGAGAAGGGGAAAGCGAGAGATGGAAATAGAGAGAAAACGTTCGTTGGTTCAGGTAGGGGAAACCTTTCCAAATAGTATTCAAGCGATAAAATATTTTCCTAACAATATTACACTAAACTTTCACTGCAAACCTTCTTGAGATTTTATTCTAATTGTGTATACAAAAAAGGGGAAAAATTTAATTTGTATGCTATGGTCTGTTTTAATATCAGCCTATGAAATAAACATTGTGGGCAATACAAGAAAAAAAAATGCATTGAATCTTTAGGTAGGATTGGGGTGTACTAGTAAGACTAGTATATCATCGCTACAAGCACTTGCAGCGTTTTATAGCCATCTTTTTGAAAAATTTCAATCAACTCATTTATACATTGAAAGCACACTGTTAAAATATCAACACCTACGTATACAGTGCTATCTGTACTACAGAATTGAGATAACGGCACTATCTGTGTTACAAATAGGAGTTAACAGAACTATTTGTACTCCAGAATAGAGTTAACAGCACTATCTGTACTACAGAATAGAGTTAACAGTACTATCTGTACTTCAGAATAGAGTTTAACAGCACTATCTGTACTACAGAGTAGAGTTAATAGTATTATCTGTACTCCGGAATAGAGTTAACAGCACTATCTGTACTACAGAATAGAGTTTAACAGCACTATCTGTACTCCAGAAAAGAGTTAACAGCACTAACTGTACTCCAGAGTAGAGTTAACAGTACTATCTGTACTACAGAATAGAGTTAACAGTACTATCTGTACTCCAGAATAGAGTTAACAGCACTATCTGTACTCCAGAAAAGAGTTAACAGCACTAACTGTACTCCAGAGTAGAGTTAACAGTACTATCTGTACTCCAGAATAAAGTTAACAGTTCTATCTGTACTCCAGAATAGAGTTAACATCACTATCTGTACTACATAATAGAGTTAACAGTACTATCTGTACTACAGAATAATGTTTAACAGCACTATCTGTACTACATAATAGAGTTAACAGCACTATCTGTACTCCAGAATAGAGTTAACAGTACTATCTGTACTCCAGAATAGAGTTAACAGTACTATCTGTACTCCAGAATAGAGTTAACAGCACTATCTGTACTACATAATAGACTTAACAGCACTATATGTACTACAGAATAGAGTTAACAGCACTATCTGTACTCCATAATAGAGTTAACAGCACTATCTGTACTACCAAAATATAGTTAACAGTACTATATGTACTACAGAATAGAGTTTAACCGCACTATCTGTACTACAGAGTAGAGTTAACAGTTCTATCTGTGCTACATAATAGAGTTAACAGCACTATCTGTACTACATAATAGAGTTAACAGTACTATCTGTTCTCTAGAATAGAGTTAACAGCACTATCTGTACTACAGAGTAGAGTTAACAGTACTATCTGTACTACAGAATAGAGTTTAACAGCACTATCTTTACTACAGAATAGAGTTAACAATACTTTCTGTACTACAGAGTAGAGTTAACAGTACTATCTGTACTACAGAATAGAGTTAACAGCACTATCTGTACTACATAATAGAGTTAACAGTACTATCTGTTCTCTAGAATAGAGTTAACAGCACTATCTGTACTACAGAGTAGAGTTAACAGTACTATCTGTACTACAGAATAGAGTTTAACAGCACTATCTTTACTACAGAATAGAGTTAACAATACTATCTGTACTACAGAGTAGAGTTAACAGTACTATCTGTACTACAGAATAGAGTTAACAGCACTATCTGTACTACATAATAGAGTTAACAGTACTATCTGTACTACATAATGGAGTTTAACAGCACTATCTGTACTCCAGAATAGAGTTTAACAGCACTATCTGTACTCCAGAATAGAGTTAACAGTACTATCTGTACTCCAGAATAGAGTTAACAGCACTATCTGTACTCCAGAATAGAGTTAACAGCACTATCTGTACTACAGAATAGAGTTAACAATACTATTTATTATACTTCTGTTAAAATGTTTCCTATATAAAGTTAAGAAGGTAAACTAACTATCTTTATAGTCTCAAAATTTCCACACATAGCAAAGCTATACCCCGGGGTATAGTTTTTGCTATCCACCCCTCGGAAAATTTTCATGCAATTTTTGCCGTCAAGTTTGATTTCCTGTTATCTATAGACTATGATGTCATCCTGACTTCAGTAGCATTAATTGTGACGTCATCAGGATTTCAGCTCATTCTAGCAGTGTTATCTTATTCCAAATACTTGTTCAAAACTTTTATAATTATTTTTTTTCATGTTTTTACTATCGAACTGTAGTATCAGGTAAATCCAACCTTTAGAAATTATGATATACATCAGTATAATAAAACGCTTATCCACTGGCTGTGAGTGGGATAGCTCTTTCATCAAACCCTTGACAGGAACTATTCCCCTCGGGCAAGCCCTCGGGGAATAGTTCCTGTCGCAGGTTTGTTAAAAGAGCTATCCCACTCACAGCCAGTGGATAAGTGTATACTGTACTACATAATAGAGTTAACATCACTATCTGTACTACATAATAGAGTTAACAGTACTATCTGTACTACAGAGTAGAGTTAACAGCACTATCTATACTCCAGAATAGAGTTAACAGTACTATCTGTGCTACAGAATAAAGTTAACAGTACTATCTCTACTACATAATAGAGTTAACAGCACTATCTGTACTCCAGAATAGAGTTAACAGTACTATCTGTACTACAGAATAGAGTTAACAGTACACACTTATCCACTGGCTGTGAGTGGGATAGCTCTTTTATCAAACCCGCGACAGGGACTATTCCCCGAGGGCTTGCCCGAGGGGAATAGTTCCGGTCAAGGGTTTGATGAAAGTGCTATCCCACTCAAAGCCAGTGGATAAGCGTTTTATTATAATGATGTAAATTATAATTTCTGAGGGTTGGATTACGGCTGATACTACAGTGTCATAGGCAAAACATGAAAAGTTCAAAAGAATAATTATAAAAGTTTTGAGGAAGTATTTAGAGTAAGATAACACTGCAAGAATAAGCTGAAATCCTGATGACGTCACAATGCTACTGAAGTCATAATGAAATCATCAGTCTATAGATTTATCGCAGGAAATCAAAACTGGCGGCAAAAATTGAATGAAAGTTTTCCGAGGGGTGGATAGTATACACTTATCCACTGGCTGTGAGTGGGATAGCTCTTTTATCAAACCCGCGACAGGAACTATTCCCCGAGGGCTTGCCCGAGGGGAATAGTTCCTGTCAAGGGTTTGATGAAAGAGCTATCCCAGTCAAAGCCAGTGGATAAGCGTTTTATTATACTGATGTATATCATAATTTCTGAGGGTTGGGTTTACCTGATACTACAGTTCGATAGTAAAAACATGACGTCACAATGATACTGAAGTCAGGATGACATCATAAGTCTATAGATTGATTACAGGAAATCAAAATTGGCGGCAAAAATTGCATGAAAATTTTCCGAGGGGTGGATAGCAAAAACTATACCCCGGGGTATAGCTTTGCTATGTGTGGAAATTTTGAGACTATAAAGATAGTTATTTTACCTTCTTAACTTTATATAGGAAACATTTTAACAGAAGTATAATAACACAAACTATACCCCGGGGTATAGCTTTGTTAGACGTGAAATTTTCAGACTATAGAAAAATAGTTATTTTACCTTCTTAACTTTATATAGGAAACATTTTAACAGAAGTATAATAACACTAACTGTACTACAGAATAGAGTTAACATCACTATCTGTACTACAGAATAGAGTTAACATTCCCAAAGAGTCAACCTTTTCATTGTAAGTATATGATCAATGCGTGTTCCGTTTAAAACTACATTTTGGGAGATGGGGTGAAGTAAACGTTTAAATGCGTTATTTTCCTTAGATAATATATTAAGTTGAAGTCACACAACAAAATTATAGGCAAATCTGCATTAGGGCATTTTTAAAGATACAACGATACAGTCGATAAAATTTGCTGTTGTTTTTTTTTTAGTTTGATGGTCGGTACAGTAAGAGATAAAGAAAAAATATTCAAAGGATTTTGAATTTCAGTCTATAACATTTCAATGGATAAGACAGGTCTTTTTTATTTCTATATTATTTTTTAAGCAAATACAATTATCTAAGATATTTTTTTTTAAGTACAGAACACCCGTCCCCGCCATATCTTTTACGATCTCATCAATTGGCGTTTGAAACGATCAAATTCTATATCAGTAGGAATTGAGCTATCAAGATGACAGGTCTATGAAATTCTAATAATATTGAAAACAGAAAATTAACTATAAATGACATTAACTTCCGACAGAATGCTGCAAAAATCATTATGCACTATCTTTATTCTAACATAAAGTCTATATCAACTAGTGTTAAAGAAAGCGATCGAGAAGCCTTAAATTCAGATGTAAATTTACTTCTTCTCAACCTTTTTAAAAATATTTTTTATCATTAGAAATGTACAAAAAGCCCAAGAATCTCAAAAAGTTTCCAGTAGCATGAATATTTGAATTATTTTTGAACATTTTTTTTTTCAAACGGAAAATAAAGTAGAACTTTTTGCGAACATTGAAAAATTACTTTTGTAAATATCACAAAGTTAATGTATTGAAAAGTCTGACGAGTACATTGAACACCTTAAATAATAGGAACGTGTAAAGCAAACAAAGAAGTACATCGTGTCATGTGTTGAAAAAGTCTCATAAGTATATATAACGTTAAATAAATTATAGGCTCGTGCACAAAGGAAATAAAATAGTCTTTCGCGTCATGTGTGTGCAAGTGGTTACATTTGCCGGATGCCAGGGTTGAAATCACGTCAATTGTGGTCGGCTGCGGTTGATAAAAAATATGTTTACAAATCAGTATCTAAATTTACCTTGTAACCCATTTCATCTCCTTTGAAGTGAAAAAAATACTTAATCAAAGTACTATCGATTTTACTGATCTTTGGGATGAATAAAGAGATAATAATTATGAAGTTAGCTGTGTATGGTTTCCTTACAATCACTTGTCGTCCAGTGAGAGGCATGGACCAGTCGGTCCTCCTCGGCACCTCCCAGCCAATCTCTCCGACGTTTGCGGTTCGGGGTCGGGGAAAGGGTGTTGAAGAGGCGGGTCGCCACAGATAATCCGCCTCACTTGTTCCCTCCACAGACATTGTCCCGATCCCGATGTGTCTATGGTCTGGTTCCACAGTCACGCGATGGTCACAGTTCCCATCGGGACCTAGCGAGGCGAGAATACATAAAATTTACTTGTGAATATTAAGTTTTCTTTTTTATATCTACTTTTCTTATTTTCAAAATTTCTTTCTTTAAGGGTGTATTCTGCTAAGGTATCAGCCATTTTTTATCGAACTTCTCTCGTTTCATCCATCAATATAAGCATTTTTTTTTTTGCCAAGTAACCCTCTTTTTTCTATATATTTTGACTCTTGGTAGTTTTGCTAGTCTTCTCAAAAATATGAAGAAAAGTTTAAATCTAGATAAGTTTTCAGGGACTGAAATTTTTCATACAAGTGAATGAAAAATCCCAAGAATTAAGTCTGGTTTCCCTATATATTTTCAACGCTTCAAATGTATCTTAAAAGCTACTCACTGACTCATATTTCTTTTTCGTATTTTGTTTCAAATAATGAATTCATCGAATTGATATGTCAATTGAGAATTAAATTCAATTTATCTCAGCAGAAAACATCCTTAAATTAAATATTTTTCATCTAGAAGCATTTTACAGAGTTCTTCAATGTGTATGAAATTTTATTTTGTAAGAGGATTTAGCACCAGTGAAACTATTTTCGTTGTTTATGCCTGATCGCTCAAAGAAAGTATGATTCTCAAATACATCTTACAAACCAATCATCACTCCATTATACATTTTGATTACATTTAATCAAAGTTGACTCGTCAAATACAATATCATTTAAATGAAATTAGTATAAGGGTAAGGACGCCATATAAATTCTAGATTGTTTATTCTACACATCATTGCTGAAGCATTTAATGTTTCGCGTCACCGGCTCTTTATAGATATGTGAAAGGTTTATCATATAAAATTGAAAAAAAAAAATTTCCTAATAGGTCAAGTATTTATAACGTCAATTACAAGAACATAAAATATCTACAGCCCCTCCTGTTGAATCAATAAAGAGCAACAGTATATTCCAAGTAGAATAGAACCTAACCTAATGCTGGCTACTACTGTTAAATCAAGTGTTGAAAAAAGTAACAATGACGCGTTCACAAAGTAAACACAATTTTTGTTTACTTCCCATGATAGGCACAATTCAAACCAGTTAAGAAAATACGATAGAATTCACCAAAATTCAGTTCACTAGATGAAAGCTTTAGGAACAAGAACTATTTATTCTTTTATTATTCATTCAATTATATACATTGTACTTATATTGTTTATTCAAGCAAGAAAAAGGGGATTCCGCAAATTATTTCTAACCAAACAAAGATGTTGACACAAACGCTATTAATATTTTTCCTGAAATTATCTGTGTTGTTGTATTTAATTAAAATAATTTTTAAAAAATGCTTGAATTATTATGATTGTCTTAAAAAAGACAAGTAAATAGATAAAGTTCTTTTCCTAACTTCATGGTTAAAATTAAGACGTTTTTATAACATTTTTCAAATCGAATATATAGAGCTGGATCGTGTATTGCAGTGCGTACCTGAAAATGTCATAATCTTAATGGCAATCAAGATAAACATTAACGTGCATATTTAAACACCAAAGGACTTAGTGATATCGATCTATGCAGTCTGCGTACACCGAGAGGATAGGTTTAACCGACAACAACTGTAAATAGATAATTATTAATTAACAACAATTTCCCTTTAAAATTGATTTTCCCCAACATGCTATAAAACATTTTGAATTTTCCCGCAATCATAATACAATGGCGAAAGAATGTGAATTTTACAAAATAATATTTAAAAAAAAATTTAAGTACCTGTGAACAGCATTCTGCCCTTCCATGGCTCATCAGATTCTATAATGTTGTAAATGTAATTTCGGGTTCTTTCTCCTGGCGCAATCCGTTTATCTTCGGTGGAAGTCATCCTTTGAAAACAAAAACGCTTACCTGCAACACGTGTTAATAAATACCCGTCGTGTGCCTCGATCAGGCTGATTAGCAACGTGACGTCACAATGTAAATGTTTCTAAGGAAGTCGAGGTTTAAAGCGAGAGCCTAGCGAGAAGGACGAAAAAGTTTTGAAGGTATGTTATATTACACACGTTTAACTATGACTTGTAAATATAATTTTGAATTGTGCATGTCAGTATTGTGTATTGGTTACAGTTCTCACGGTCATCATGTGATTGTGAGGAAGATGCGCATCGACTAAATAAACAAAAAAGTTGAAGGGGGGGGGGGGGGTCAATAAATTAACATTCCACCATTAATTAATGACATTATTATAATTGATATCAAGGTATACGTTTTCTTTCGTTTTTGGAAAGCTTATCTATCGTGTAATCGAATATATACACTCATTTTAATTTTATACAAAACTTTTAGTGCCTTACATCTTATAAATACAAGATGGATACAGCATATCTACAAAAGAACCTAGGTTCCTGTCTAACACAATGTCTAGCAGAAATATCAGAGAAGCGTCCCAGAGATCCAATAGAATTCATGGCACAATGGCTTTACAAATATAAGGAAAATGTCATGTATATGGAAAAGGTAAGGATATTGTTTGATCATGTAGTGATTGCTTTATAGTTGGGAATGTAATACAGTCTTACCTAAACAGAGAACCAGAAGGTATTTTTTTAATGCTAACGTAAAACCACCATCAAGACAAAGAGTTAAATACTATACTTTGTCGGATATTATTTAGAATTCAAAGTACACTGTGTACACAACAGAGTGATTCCTATCTATTTTATGTGTTATAATTATTTTCTTTAAATTAATTATTTTAAAAGAAAGAAGAAGACAAAAATCAGTTGATTAGAGAAAAAGAAGAGTTTGAGAAGGAACAAGAAATGCTGGAGAAAAGAAAAGAAGAGGCTGATCAGATAAAGAAAGAGGATGACGAGAAGCGCAAGGTGAGGCAAAAATGACCCATAAAGTCACTACATGGTGGAAACTATATACCATTCAGTCAGTAATTCACCAAAACAGTGTGATGGAAATTCAAACTATCAATCCAAGAGAAATTAATGCATGGTTCAATTGTTTTGAATATATTCTTTATTGAATAAATCAAAAGGACTGGAAACAAGTTCTAACAAGTTACTGGTTCCTTTCCTTGAATATAACAATTGCCATGCAAAATAATTCATAAACTCAAAAATTGTACAAGAAATACAAGTAGATTTTTCTAAGATAATTATATAAATTATATAGATCATAGTTTAGTAAATACTTGTATACAATCATGTCTGAGAAAGCTGGTATGAACATTTAGAAGCTAGTTTTATTAAAATAATGCATCTGTACTACCAGTTAGCCAATCAGTTGAGGCTTTTTATAACATTATTTACAAGGACCAGCCATCCAAAATATGCACATAAAAAGATCTTGATCAAATACAATAACTATTGCTCTTACTTGAAAAAGGGCTATTACAAAAACACTGGCTTGAATTTTCAAAACATTTTCAGTAAAATAAAGAGTTCTTACAAAAGACTGGTGGCAGACTAAATCTGCAGATTTGTGATTCATGTAATATATGTACTGTAAATTTAGTGGAAATCTTATTTTTACTGCTTTAAGTACATGTATTATATCACCTGTGTTCATCTTGTTTAATCATGTACGCTGTTGATATACAAAAAAAAAAAAAAAAAAAAAAAAAAAAAAAACTTCATATACAAAGAAAAATAGGGTACATTTCCAAAATCTTTTTATTTCTGGTTCTGTTATGTTTGTACTGAAGAACCAACCAAGATACATTGATTTTATTCAAACAAATATATTAACTAATATAATAAATCTTTTTCAGGCTGAGGAGGAAAGAGCAGCCAAAGAGAGTTCATCCCCCACAAAACTTCCCCCTGTGATAGAGGCTCAGGAACCTCCAGAGGAGGAGGCTAAGAAAGCAGCCACTGAGGCCCCGGCAGAGGAGGCCCCCACACAGGAAGAAGAGAAACCATCAGATTCCTCAGAGGAAAAGAAAGTAGGTCTTATAGGGCAATCTACAGACACTGTACTGGCTAGTTCAGATTACTTATTGTATCTTATAGGGCAATCTACAGTCACTGTGCTGGCTATTTCAGATTACTGATTGTATCATATAGTGCAATCTGCAATCACTGTGCTGGCTATTTCAGATTACTGATTGTATCATATAGTGCAATCTATAGACACTGTACTGGCTATTTCAGATTTACTGATAGTATCATAGAGGGCAATCTACAGACACTGTGCTGGCTATTTCAGATTTACTGATTGTATCATAGAGGGCAATCTACAGACACTGTGCTGGCTATTTCAGATTACTGATTGTGTCATATAGGGAAATCTACAGACACTGTGCTGGCTATTTCAGATTACTGATAGTATCATATAGGGCAATCTATAGTCACTGTGCTGGCTATTTCAGATTTACTGATTGTATCATAGAAGGCAATCTACAGTCACTGTGCTGGCTATTTCAGATTTACTGATAGTATCATATAGGACAATCTATAGTCACTGTGCTGGCTATTTCAGATTACTGATTGTGTCATATAGGGAAATCTACAGACACTGTGCTGGCTATTTCAGATTACTGATAGTATCATATAGGGCAATCTATAGTCACTGTGCTGGCTATTTCAGATTTACTGATTGTATCATAGAAGGCAATCTACAGTCACTGTGCTGGCTATTTCAGATTTACTGATAGTATCATATAGGACAATCTATAGTCACTGTGCTGGCTATTTCAGATTACTGATTGTGTCATATAGGGCAATCTACAGACACTGTGCTGGCTATTTCAGATTACTGATTGTGTCATATAGGGCAATCTATAGTCACTGTGCTGGCTATTTCAGATTTACTGATTGTATCATAGAGGGCAATCTACAGACACTGTGCTGGCTATTTCAGATTTACTGATAGTATCATATAGGACAATCTATAGTCACTGTGCTGGCTATTTCAGATTACTGATTGTGTCATATAGGGAAATCTACAGACACTGTGCTGGCTATTTCAGATTTACTGATAGTATCATATAGGACAATCTACAGACACTGTGCTGGCTATTTCAGATTACTGATTGTATCATATAGGGCAATCTATAGACACTGTGCTGGCTATTTCAGATTTACTGATTGTATCATATAGGACAATCTATAGTCACTGTGCTGGCTATTTCAGATTTACTGATAGTATCATATAGGACAATCTACAGACACTGTGCTGGATATTTCAGATTTACTGATTGTATCATGTGTTTGCTTAATTCTAATCTCCAATGACCATATGGTATATTATAATAATCTTGTTGGGTCGTAAATCACTAAGGACAAAAACTATATTAATTGGAATGACGTCAATTGAAGTAATCATGTACACTATGACATGTAAATTTCCAAATCATTTTTTTGCCAGTAGCAGCATTGCATATAAGTGAAATTAAAAGTATTATTGTTTAAATTTAAGAAAATAAAACCACACAATTGTATCTGTAGGATGAAGACTCCAAAGAAGAGACAAGTGACCCTGCTCCTACAGAAGAGGAGACGTAGTCATTGTCCAATCATTAGGCTTCTTACAAATGTTCACGGTGCTGTTCCTCCATCGCAAACAGCAATCTATCTGATGTCAAAGAAAACAATCTGAACTTGCCTGTGATGCATTGTGATGTCATGAGTGACTGTCTGTATGTTAATGAGAGTGTGCATAGAGTGAAAGTGACCAACCATTTTATCATCTAAAAAAAAAAATGAAAATAAATACTTAAAATTAAATGGAGCAATATTTTTGCTCTTTGTGTTGTGAATAGCATTTTTATTACATTAAAATATGGTTTTTAATCGAAATTCTTATGAAAATTATTATTCTTCAGGTAAATGAAAGCTTAGGAAATTTTCACCGTAAGACATTGAACATCTTGATCGTAACGTAAAAATCATCAAATCATCATGTTGACTGAAAAAAACAGCAATATTTTTTTTTATTTCATGATTAAATGATACAAACTCATTAAGCAATCCATGCCATTTTACTTATTTACATTTGGTGAAGTCCTAGCCAAACGCAATGAGAGAAGCGGGGTTAAAATAAACATTAACAGTTGTATTAATGTGGAATTTTTTAATCTGCTTTAGGTGCGATGTAGAAAATACAAATATCGTGTACACATATAGGATTGATTTTGAATGGGATGGCATTATAAAGAAAAAAAGGACAACTTACAAGAAAAAAATCTTTGACCCCCCCCCCCCTCAAAAAAAGTAAAATTCTCCCATCTCCAAATTTTATTTGGGGGTGCATGTGTTAAAGTCCATTTACCGGGGAGGGGGGTATCTTTTCAATGAATATTTTTATAATACATTAAAAGTTAAAATTTACGTCCAGGAAAAAAAGTGTGAGGAGGCAGGCGGCTGCACCCCCACCCCACCCCAGATTTTATATGCTATGTTCAGGGCCACGATTTTTGTATCAATTTAAGATTTCCCGGTCTATTTTTAGTCCAATTTAGAAAAAATAAATCCATGTGTTCACCTGGAAGGTCACATACTATTTATAAGTATAGATTTATATAGAGGAACCAATTTTTAAAGATAAAACAAAACGTATACAACGTTATAGATGTACCTTTAAAAATTGGTTCATATATATATATATATATATATATATATATATATATATATATATATATATATATATATATATATATATATATATATATTACTGAGCGGTCATAAAAAAATCGATGTTTGACCGCAGAGTGAGATATTGGACCTGTCGATGAGATATTGGACCGCTTACGTCACACTGGGGGCGGGATCAGCTAAATCTTACTTGCATTCGTTGGTGTACATCATGAAAGCCAGCACAAGATATGTAAAAAAAAAATAAATAAATAAAAGGTACAACCTAACATCGGGCAAAATGCGTTTTGTCGACCCTTTGAACCAGATTGTTTGCCTTCGGCCGTTTGCATGGTTCTTGGGTACGACAAAACGCATGTTGCCCTCTGACCCAGTCAATAAATGTATATTATTTTTTTCTACAATATAGGATCTCACCCAATCACATAGAGAATGAACTAAAGTGCTTGTTTATAAGTAGCTAGATTCAGAACAGATTCAGAGAGCTGGAAAAAATCTTTCTGCACGTGATCTGTAGATCTAAGACATGTATGGAGGACAAAGAGCAGGCATCAAACATGACATAAAATCACTTCAGTTATTTTAAACAAGATTTTACGATTCATACGCGTATCATATCGTAAACTGTGTATTTATCTCCACCCTACAATGTATCAATACCGCTTACATCTCTTAATATTTTAGCAACATGTCCTTTACATATGTATCATGTTGAATTTACTAGGTGGAAATAAATAATTACAGTTCTCATGTACATTTTGATTTTTTACTGGATGGAGGTAAAAGGAAAATTTACAGTTCCCATGTGAATTTTGCATTTACCGCCACCTAGTAAATTCAAAATTTACTGCATGACATATAAATTAAGCTTATGTTGCAATTTCAGAAAAAAGTTAGATATTTCTAAGTACCCCCCCCCCCCCATTCGCCCCAAAATTTAAGTATATAATAGAGAACAGGTTCTTCATAGTTAGGTTCAGGAAGCTGGCAGAAAACTTGCATTCTTCCTGTAATATGACCAATGTCCAACTAAATGATATCATTATGCTTTATCCGAGGCTATTAAGTACATATCTAACAAATTATAATTTCTTTTCATCAAGGGTGATATTTATTTTGGCATATCGAGTACATGTATGTCCCTGATGCCAGCAATATAAATAAACGTCGCAGTTATTTTGTACCTCTCAGCTCCTATGTTACTTCTGACTTGGAAGGATAAAACATACAAAAACGATGTACTTAAAAAGTTTCTCGCATATTCTCTTCTCATAACAAATTACAAATGATGCATTAGAATTGACTTAAAACCAATATAAACTCGGATCAATAAGAGTGTTGCCCACGTTTATATTTAGAATTGACTTAAAACCAATATAAACTCGGATCAGTAAAGTGTTGTCCACGTTTATATTTAGTGTTCACACGTCATCTCATCATCAGACGTTTTATCAAAACTCGAAAATCGAAAAAAATGAAAAAGAGAAAAAATAATCAGGATTTGAATTCATATTGTAAATGCATTCACGGTTAATGTGGCTTATACTCGGTTACATGCGCGGATCTAGAGGGGGTCGGGCGGACCCCCCCCCCTTCGGAATTTGCAGAGCTATTAAAAGTATATACTGAAGAAATGAAAAATTGACTTTGGATCCTCCTTGAAAACGTGGACCCCACCATCACCACCACGAAATAGGTGTTTTTCACGTTTGGGAAATGGATTTTACCTTTTTTTTTATTTTGCTTGTCAAGGAATTTTGGGGTTGGAAATTTTTTTGACTAAGATGGACCCCCCCCCCCTGGAAAAAATTCCTGGATCCACGCCTGGGTTAAATGTTCATACATGTGTATAAATGTGCATACATTTAGTGATCCAAAAGACAAAAACATAAATTATTTTATAAAGAGTGTTCACAAGTACTGTTACAGTATATTTTATGTTAAAGCAATATGAGCTGCAACTTTGATGTCGGAAATTTTTGTTGCAACATTGTAATTAACTATTTCAATGAAAGGAAAAAAAAGAACGTTTATAAACTTCTGTTGTTTATATTTGCGATGAAAGAACTATTATAAAGCTTTGGTTGAAGCAGAATTATTACATTATTGTCCTGTACATGTACAATATTTATTCCTTATATATTTCTATATATTCGATTGTACAGAAGTCTTTCTTCAGAAACAATTTAATACTTTATTTAGATTAAATTTATCAAAAAAGGCTCAAATTACATTAAAAAAATATCAAAATAGCCTATTTAGCACAATCAAATTTTAAAAAATGCACCTCATATTGCTTTAAAGAAACAAATGGGAAAACACAAAAATTAGCTCATATCAACAATGTCACGTAATTCCCCATCGTCGCAAGCCACGGGTTTTGTGTCCATTCTATTTCCACAAACGTGGAAATAGAATGGACACAAAACCCGTGGCTTGCGACGATGGTAATTCCCATGGCTACTCCAACATTCCATAGTACATCTAGGTCAGATGCAACATCCGGAGCAGACTAATGACGACATGCATCTAGATAATGCTTCATCCATTCACGTTTGACCAAGCTATGACATAAATACCTGTGGACGGAAAGGTCATATAGATGATTTTACCTTGGCATTCATTCCAATATAGGCCACGTATGGAGCATCTGAAGCCGGAAGAAAAGTAGTACACATGGTTAATGGATCAACTCCAAAACCTCTAGCAAGTCAATGATAATCAGAAAATATAGGTCAGATGCAGCATCTGGAGCAAGTCAAGCACTGTATACGTGCATGCTCTATCATTATTCCAAGTAAGGTCATATAACTGACCAGATCCAAAACCTTAACGTTAGTCAACGGAAGTAATAGTTGGAAGGTCTATAAAGTTTTTTCTCAACATTACATCATCAAACTGCTTTGAGTTTCGATCAAACTTAAAATAAGAATAAAAAAACCAAAACCTGTTTTCAGTGGTATGGGCATTTGTTGGACTTAAATGACAACTTGTAAAATGCGAACATAGTGTAAAAATTTTCCTGTATGGGTATTTTTTTAAATAATGTATAATTAAGATTTTCTTTAAAAAATCTTGATGGAAATCTTAGTCATTGTAATATGGTTAATTACATTCACACCGAAATTAAAATTATATTTTGAGAACAGCTTCATGACGTTGGGATAGTGGATAGAAGGAAAAAAAACTAAAGCAAGTTTTTGTAGCTGTTTTGTGGCATTGGCATAAAAGCAATTCATGAGGTAGAGTGACGAGTCATTTGGGCTTATTTCACACAGACAGATTATTATATTTAGCTTTAAATTCTCTTAATTCTACAACCTTAATGGAACAGAAAGAGCACCCTCAACTTGACAAAATTGGTCCCCATTTTAGGATTAATGTAATGAGCTGCACAAGTATGGAAAAGAAAATCTTAACAGGCTGGTCGACACATTACTCGGACTGTGGGAAAGGAATGGTCATCTGAATCAAAAGTCTACGTGAACACCACACAGTAACAGAATGACATAGCAAGAGATGACTGCTGTTTAAATACGTCTTTGGCAATAAAAATACGTCATGTAACAAAACATTTATGTGATCCAGACTTGGTAATTCTCCATAATACTCATCAATTCCTGTATGTAATGATCGCAACACTAAGAAATTACGCTAACTCAAACTTTTTTTTTTTGCTGAGAATGCAATTCAAAAAACCTTGTAAAAGCTGATGACCATTAGAAATGTTTATAACCTGTAATTGTTGTTCCTGGCTTTTTTTAAAAGAGCAATTACGGAAGCAGCGTTCTTTCAACTCATTGAGCCAAAAATATAATGTAAACAGTATTGCTAGAGGAATATTTAACTCTTCCAATCTACTTAATAAACATCGAAAAACATCTTAGAAAATGTAATAACTTTTATTTTTTGTTGAATGATATGATGAAAATGTAAAAACATAAATACGTGAGATGAGAAATCAGCAACCTCTAAGCCTACTCGTTCTATAACAACGCTTCGCTATCTCTCATTATAACGTTAACAAACTGAACTATACGTGGCATTTTCGTTAAAAAGGCACATCATTAGCAATATATAAAAATACTATATATGTAAAACATCAGTCTGTCACTTCATCACAGATCGTTGTATAATCTTTGTAATCCGCTGACCTTGGACGAAGTTAAATGGCGTCACTGATCACTATGGAAACTATGAAAGCCCTTCACGCTGCATACCGAATGCAACTTGGGGTGATCTGCACTCTGTTGTAGCTCCACGACAGTCGAGGATTTCAAGAAAGACATTTTTTTTTCAAACTACTCATTTATCGATGGCGTTATCAGAAGTCTCTATCCCAACCTGTGACGTCATCTGGTGGAGGATCATCGTCCTCATCCGGGTAGTCGTCAAAATTTGAGGTATCTGTTGCCGACTTTACCTGTAAAACGGACAAAGTATGCTTTTGAATAATCACATATCAAGAATACATATTAGTATCCCTTCATCAGCACACACTCCCCAGAAGGTGATACATTGTCCATCGTCGGATATACCCACGGAGGATCTCGTCTTTTACTCAAATCGAAGGAAAATTGTCGTATGTAATTAATGTGTGCGGGTCATTTGATTGGTTGGATTGCAAATAAATCCACTCACCAGTGCATTTCGCAGTTTGAGAAAGGTACTCCCATATAATTTCTTACTGGTATTTGATATGTGACCTTTACGATTTGTCTTGAGTCGTTTTAAAACAAAATATGCACCTTTCAACGAGCGTAAAGATATTAAGCATAAATAGCAAACTAATATACGTATTTTCAATATCGAAGATTCCAATTTTCTGATTGGTTGTCTGTAATCAACAAATTAGCATATTTTACGACGATATTTTGGTGAGGTTGCCCACGGGTGATGAGTAAGAGACGAGATCACCCGTGGGTATCCGACGATGTAAATTGTCTCCTATAAAGGAGAATGAAAGGAAACATTCTATCGACAAAACAAATTTAAATTTTATTATTTACTTACATGAGGAGTAATTGGAGGTTTTAATGTCCTCTTCTTTAGTCCATCCCAGTTAAAGCCTTCGAACCATTTGTGTTTTTGGATCTCTCGAATTCCCCCTCTGCCAAACCCTAGTCTGTCAGATGGCGTCTCACGACACAGTTTTTTAATAAGATTTTGGGCGTTTTTGCTGATTTTTCTCGAAAAATCAATGGCGTCAATGCCTTTTAAGATAATGTTGTAAGTTTTCATAGGATCCTGTCCTGAAAATGGTGGGCTAAAAAAAAAAAAGAAAAAAAATTGAAATGTAGCCACCCGATAATTTAATTACTTGCATTTTGTGTAACAGTGTGTAAACCTTAAAATGTCTGTACCTTCCTGTGAGGAGTTCAAACATGAGGATCCCTAAGGACCAGAAGTCCGCCGATATGTCGTGCCCTTTATTGAGGATTATTTCTGGAGCCACATATTCTGGGGTCCCACAGAATGTCCATGTTTTCCTTCCTAGACCAACCTTCTTAGCGAAACCAAAGTCAACCTGTATCGAAAGATACCAGAGTTAAAGAATGTAAGAACATGTATAAAATATCTGTTATGTACACGTCAGCAAGGATACGGTCATAAAAAAGTTCATAAAGTTCTTCACTTGTTCCTCTTGGTCATTCAATTTGGAATTGGGGGTACTCTAATAAAACCCCCAAAATGTGGGTATGCTGTAATTATATGGACCTAATTGTTCCTTACCAGTTTGACGTATCCCTGAGAATCTAGAAGTAAATTTTCTGGCTTGAGATCTCTGTAGACAATGCCCTTGGCATGCAGATAGGCGAAGGCTTCCACAACACAACCCGTGTAAAACCTTGTGGTGGCGTCATCAAAAGAACCCCTATAACAGATCGTTTGTTATTTTCATCTTATTTACCTCTAAAAGGTAACATTTTTTACTTTAACATTTTATACTCACTTATCTCGGAGTACAGTCCACAATTCTCCACCTAAACACACCTCCAGTAACATGTAAAGGTACTTCCGGTCTTTAAAAGTTCGATATAACCTATAAGAATTTACATATTAAATAATAGGATTACTTATCAAGAAAGAAAAAAAAATAGAAAACACGATATTGAGAATCATGCCAAACAAAACTGTACCTGACGATGAATTCAGAGCGAGACTCTGACATGATTTTCTTCTCGTTCATAATGTGTTCCTGCTGCCTCGTTTCCACTATGTGGTGCTTTTTAAGAATTTTTAGGGCAAATGTTCGAGACGTATCATTGTTGACTTGAACCTAAAAATACAGAATTTAAAGAAAATACAATTGTGTATTTAAATGAAGCAACAGTGGGGGGGATCAACATTTGACATAATGAAACTGCAGCTAAAGACTTTACTCAGAAAAAAGGGGCCCCCTCCCCTGTCTTACTGGCCGGTGTTTGTCTCCCTACATTAGTGTAGTACTTAGTACCAGTATTATATCGAGTCACTAATATATAATCTTTCTCAGGCCATTTCGTCAACTAGAAATTTTCTGTATAATAAATAAATGTGTAAACAAATTGGCAGTTATGTCTGTTGTCGAGATTTCACACTCATACACGTCATTCAGTCATTGAAATAGAGAGGCATAAAATACGAGAGTTTGATATGTACTAGTATTTTCTATCATTATAAAGAGTAGTGATGAATCTATCATTATAAAGAGTAGTGATGAAATGTTTATGTTCTTAATGCCTTTATGTCTTCAAAGGAGACCTCTGACTTGAACAGCTGACGATGAAAAAAGCTGTATTCTGTCAAAGACGATTAGCGAAAGCTGATTATCAGACATGAAACAAAGCGTCTTCAGAATGTAATAAATGTGGATCGTTACTAGTTTTTCCCCAATTTACATGCCAAAGTTAGCGGGTATCGCACTTATTACACCTGGTTTTTTTCGCTATTGGAATCTTTATATAACCAAGTTAATTATTTATACAATTAAACTGTTCGGGCTTGCAGCTTTGACTTGGCAGAAATACATTCCAGTGACTGAAGATGAAGTGCGACAAGCCTTCACACTCTGAAAATCCCCTGATCAAACTCAGCAGACGACACATCCACCGACCAGTTATGACGTCATTTCGCACTTTTAAACTACGGGGAAGGTATTTGATTTCAACAGTGCAGATTGTGAGTATGGGAAATCTGCACCTTATCACCGATGGATATCAAAGGGCGCGACACTGACCTCACAAAGAACATCAGACCCGAACTCTATCTGTGTTCTTTAATTCTTTTTCACTGACGGATGAAAAAAAGATCCATTGAGGTCATTAAAAACAGTGCACTATTCATTAACTAATTTCCAAGTCAGGATTCCAAAAGCGTTAATTGTCATGTGCATTATCTGCAAGTTGCTTCATTACAGTGCCCTAATTTAATAATTGATAATTACAAAAATATTTCCGAAAAGAATTGTCGGTTAAAAAAGACCTCCAGCGGAGTTTTTTTTTAATGTTAACTTTACTTCAAAATTATTGAAAGCCCTGTGCTGAGTGATCAGTTTTCAGTCGCTTTTGAAAATAATTATTATAACGGTATCCTTCTCTATTATAAAACTGTCATTTTTACTATTCCAAATGTAATGGGGGAAAATCCATGAACTGTCAATTTGGGTTTGTTGCAGCCAGCTACAGACGATCAAGTTTAATGACACGGATTTACATAGAACCGGGAGGAAGGCAAAATGTGTGTGTATGTAACAAAAAATTGCTAGAATACTTCTTCATTTTATTCTAGCATTTCAGCCAATGTGTACACACAGGCCACGTGCTACACACATTGTTGGCTTGATGACGCGACCTCTACGTAAAGAATGGCCATTTCAGCAGATGATCTGACTCACAATGTCGTAATAGTGCACGTAAAAAAAATTTAAATTTTTTGTACGAGAATAAAATCAAAATGTCTCTAAACTGTTATATACGGTAACATTTATTACAAATTGCTTTTCAGGAATCTAACTTGAATAGGTAATTCGTAAGAAAAATACAAACAAGTCCTACTTGTCCGATCTGTTACTCGGTCGGAAATATTTACGACTAACCGGTTACAAAATAATATTCGATTGTCATCCCTATGATCCCACGTCTAAATATTTCCCGAGGTCCCGTGTTTTATGCCCTGTTCTCAGATTTGTACTGTTTGAACGTTCTTTTTTTAGATCGATCACCTTTGTCATTATACACATGATTTCCACAAGAAAGGAAATTTTACCAGTTCAACCCTGCCAAAGCCACCGACTCCAAGAGTTGCGACAATACTGAGATCGCTCAACTTCAGTTTCATTAACTCTTGATCAGCCCTGAAATAACAGAAATAAACCCGTGAACTCTGATGACACTGATAAACTGTCAGGTTACAAATAAATAATATGGTGTTACCATGGAAGTGACGTAAGTAGTACTCACACGGCCTTCTCCTCGTCATCCTCGTACACGCGCTTAAGTTCATCAAGGTCACTTATCAGCTGCGAATACGATCTTAAAAAATGAAATACATATGAATAAATATTTAGAATAATTTTTAGAAATAAACTTCTCTTCTTCAGAATTTTTAACTCCATAAATAATATGATCAAAAAGTATACACAGATAACATTTAACTAATAGTTTACAATGAGTTCCGTTCTACACGTCTTCTTTATGTTTACTGAACAGAATATTACTTACTCTCTGTCAATGACGAGACAATCCACCCCTGATGGATCCGTCGCCACAATGTTAGCTGTTCTAACATCCTCCCTACAACAAAAAATTAAGATGAGTATGTTATTACATAATAAGAATGGGAACCAAAGGGACTTTTTACGGAGATATGAACTGTTTGATGTCTGCAATGTTCTGTAGTTGTTGATAGAAGTTTTACTGATCTATCACGCAACGGATTTCGCATCAATAAAACAACAAACTTCCGCAACAAAACAAGCCAAGTCTGAATTTCATATAGAATGAGCATGCACGTAGGACAAAGACTGGGCTTAGATTGGCATCAAATTAGCTGCCTATAACTGAAGACAGAAACCGTTTCGATCAGTCAAATCGCTTTTCATGCCAGGTTCTGGGCTAATTTTAGGAAAATGACTCACTGATTCTCGATTTAGATCTATCATATATCTCTTGAGTATTTATTATTGCAGACAGATTCAAGGAACGATCTCTTTGAATCAATAATTTTAAAGAGGAACGAGAGAGTAAATGTTTTAAGATTATATGTAATTGTTGATATTACTTGAATCATTCCTCAGATGTGTGAAAGAAATTTACAGAGTAACACGCGGAGAAATCAAAGAATAACTGAAAAACAGAACCAAAACTTATCACGTGATTAAGTTCGAACTATTCGCATTTGATCAGTAGATTTTTTAGTAAGCAGCAACAGCTTTAAGATTATGGGTTAATTCAATTAGAATAACAGTTAACTAATTGGGTTCGTAAGAACAAGTACAGCGTTAATGAGACCGTAAAATAAAACGGTGCAATTTTGTGAAACATTTTACGTTCTACCTCGATACATTTACAGTCACTAATTACAATATCTAATTACTGGATGATGACCGATTTTACAGCATCTGTTACCCCCAGAGTACTAAGTTTAAGTATGTCGTACGATTTCTTCTTATTGTTAACATGCTGTGAACTTAACTAATTTTTTCAAGGTAGCAGCATAGTTTAACAGTCTTTCACTGCTTTAAATAATTGAAAAGATAGACCAGTAGGTATAGAGAACAATAAAATTAACCAGAACTGCCATTCGGAACCTTCTAACGGCTTTTAGGAATACACCCTTTCCCGCCAGAAAGCAAAATGCCATTTCTTCTTAAAATTTCTGGTAAATTGGAAAACGATGTCGATAAGAAATTCATGGGAAGAAAATGACTATTTTATCAAATTTTTAAAAGATCGGTAAAATATTAATATCCATGATAAGAATTATGTCTACATTTCCAACCTAAGCACAGTGGTATATTTCATTTTAATAATTGCTGTTTATATTGAGTCCTGACAAATTGTGATCCTCCTTAAAAACCACATGTTACAGAAGGTCATGATTTTTTGTTAAATGAGGCAACACCCCAAGGTCTCAGAAAAAATGTACTTAACTTTTTTTATTCATTTTAAAAGTTCTTGTTCATAGGGGCTGCCAGTGCTATACTCGAATTCTACATAAAATCAAACCATTTACATAAAAATCCTAAAAAATTCTTGGGGATTTACATTCCTTGTATTTCAAGACTGACTTTGGCGCCTCCAAAGGCTTAAATAAATGAAACATTTTAGAACAGTATTTGAATAAATAAACTTATAAAGTTGTCTAATTAACACTATTAGTGTCAGATTCCATGAAAACCAAGAGTTGTAGTTTAAGTCTTTTGAACTGAGTTTATATTTCTACTCAAAGCACATCTGCTTACTCTGAGAATTGATTTAATCAATTAAAGGAGTTTTCGAATACAAAACTCGTAACATGCATGTGGCTGTTTGGGTGCACGTACACGTACACGTACCCTTGTAGTGCACGTTCCCCGAAGAACTCTCCCTTCTGTAAGCAGCGTATCAACTGTTCATCACCAGTCTTAGAATGACGTCTGGTCACCTTCACCTGTGCAAACAGAGAACCAGTCAGGATTAGTCATACATCAAACCTTTAACATCCTGCTTCTATCAATGGGGTTTTGAAGGTTGTGGCCAAACATAACCTTGAACGATAAGGCCAGTGTAATCGGGATGGGAGGGGGATTCTAACTATGGAGATAAGATGATAAAGTGCCTTCCTTGTTTTCCTGAAATCAATGTGAAATCTGCCTTTTTGTCTTTTTGTTTGTAAACATCAGTTTATCAAATCTCATTCGAAAAAGCTGGCTGTTCGATTCATCTATGGTTAAAGGCAAAGCTACTTAGATATTTGCGCTTATTATACAGCCTGCATCATTAATACGTCAGCTGTCCGATATAAACAAACTGGCAAACTTTCACTCCCCCCCCCCCCCCAAAAAAAAATCAAATATGGGTATACCTTGCCCTTGGCTATAATGTAGAAAGTGTCTCCTCGTGCTCCTTGACGAATGATGTATTCCCCATTATTGTAATGAGCCTGCAATAGATAGCATGACATTAAGTTAAAAGTTGTGCTGTGTACAATTTTGATTATAATTTGTGCAACTTTAACGAAAAACAAGATAAAATTCGGTAAATAATTATGCACTGGCAGAAGCCATATAATTCTTACTGAACAGCAGAAGTTTTATTAAAGATATATCACGGATACATTTGTATACAGTGTACTCTAACGATTCTCAATCCCAGCTGTAATATAGATATTTAAACTGCATGATATATTCTAAGGATAGTTAAAAAATCAAAATTTCTGAAGCCCATAGAGATTTTAGAGGTGATAATAAAAAGGGTCCTCTGTTCGATTTGAAATACTCAAATTAACAAAATCATTAGCACGAAATTAAACTATTTCAAAAGAGAGAAAGTAATGCGCAAATATTGAAATAAGTGATGTATTGTTCAATACAGTCCGTCTCTGAATATCTTTCAGGAAGGTTAAATTTTGTTTACACTGGCATATGGCAAAAAGCAAAGATAGTGAGGGCTTATCATTAGCAATGATGTTAGCTGACAAAATCTTAAGATAGCAGCTATAAGCAAACAAATATATATCATTATAGTTCACGTCTGCACTAAAACCCAATGAGCAATGCATCACTTTCCTCTAGAATAACTACTACGAAATGTGCGTCTATTTACAAGAAGTACAAGATAAACAAGCGACAACTGATCGACCCCATGCGATGAGAGAAGATAGTTATAAAAAGAAATCGTCCAGCATAGGTAGAGGGTTCACCGGGAGGGTTACTGGGACAGTTCAAAAACCATCAACACTGCAGCAACAAGGAAGTCAAGTGTAAACAAGTACTGTGGCACGCACCTGCCCCTGTGTATTCGGTAATCAGTGCCTTCACCATATACAAGGTGTGCAAATTTGTAAACTTGCTCTACTGAAACGTTTATTGCCGTTATGAAATATTTGACAAAAGTTGCCAGAATATATGGCAAAAAAGATAAACATTGACTTCATCAGTTAGCTCTGCTTTTGATCATTATAACAGAAGAGTTGAAGAGAATAAGAAAAGTACAACAAGTGGTAGACCAATGGTATTACTAGCTTAGATGATAAAAGCTGACTGCATTCAAAGAATAGTGATAATGCTGACTGAATTATTGTTGCAGATTTTAGGTACCAAAATTTAATTTTTCGATTTACGTTAACATTTTAACCAACACCTCAATATGTACAAAGATTTCAATCGATCTATGCAATAGATAAGCACTGGTAACAACTTTCACCTGAAATTCATCGTAATATCAAAGTAAAGGTGTTTATTTGTAAGATTGCACCAATTTTACAGAGGATGCTGCTACATCATTTTATTTATTTAAAGCAAAATCCAACTAATTTTAAAGAATTTCATCTTTTCGCAATTTCAACCTCTGAGCAGAGCTTTATTTTGATCATTTATCACCTCTTAAGATTGAGGCAATAGCGTCTTTGATACCGACCAAAATTGTCTAAGGTCTATCAACAATGTTCTTTCTGTAGAATTTCTTAGCACTTTCTTCGTTGGCTCAGTTTTGCAAGGTCAATGTGACTAGACAAATGGTTATGATGACTAACAAGAGACACTGATACAAACGTTATACGACGGCTTAATCAATTCTTATGAATATCACCGTGTGAAGTGCACCCCAAATAAACAAATTCTCCCTGTCTAGATAAGAATGCCCAGTAAAGTGTACTAATTGGGTCAGTCGCTGTCTCGAATTTTCGCCGTTAAGGAGCATGGACGTAGAGCAAAGAGAGTCTTGCGACAACACAAAGGTTGATCGTCATCGCTTCCTAGCGATACCTGCTGGTCTCGCTATCACTCCTCTCTCGTGTTTGCCCTACAGTTTAGCTAAGTGACTTTGATGTGAACAATTGACATTTTGTTTATAAAGGTTATCTGTGAAAAGGAACTGTATATAAATTTCTATTTCTTTTTTCCTTAAAAGTGTCTATTGTTTAATGAGTGGTTCTTTATTTTCCTTCGTTTAAGGAACGGTTTAGGAGCTTGGACCACTTTTTTGTTAACAGTAAGAGTTTGTAAACCAGGTATTTCTTCATGTCAGAAAAATATCAGCCATAAAATTTGCATAATCTCTGAACACACAATCAAAAATTTCTTATACAATTTGTAGAATATAACAGGTTCTCAAGACGGGGCGTTGTTAAAAATTTAATCCTGACCCCAATTTCACCGAATAAATAAATCCTATTTTGTTTCTTTTTTCAAAGATCTTTAAGTGAGTAAAAATTGGAGCTTTCAAACTTTTCAAAGTAAATAAATGAACTAGTAATAAACAGGTGTCCTCCTGAAAACAGCGGTTCACTAACGATTTATGAAGGAGTATCAATTTATCTAACTAAAGTGATTCTAAATGGATACATTTCCGATGTAAAAGAAAAAAAATTCTATCAAATTCGTAATCCCCCTAATTCATCAACCTATCGCCTATGGAGGGTTAAAGACTTTTAATCAATTTATTTACCTGCACAAAAAAAAACCCAAAACAAAACACTCAAATATTTATTTCGAGTGCTATATAATGATTATATATATATATATATATATATATATATATATATATATATATAAGATCAGTTTCTCATTTAAGATCAGCGGCCCGTTTTACAAAAGAACTTACGACTAAGACCAGAAACTTACTTGGTTGTAAAATCTTGAAAAAAACATTGATTTCTGTTATAAATTGCTTGCATAAAATGTCTTCCTAAATTATTTTTAAAAAGATTAAATCATTTTTAAATTAATGTAAAATAGGAAGTTATTGGCAAAATAACATTTTGGTCTTAGTCGTAAGTTCTTTTGTATAACGGGGCCCAGGTTCTCCTCCATTTTTTCGAATTAACCACAAAAATTCGTTATTGCAACAACACTTACGAAATTGAATGTGTTTTATATGTGTAACCTTCACCGAAAAAGAAAGTTTCGGCTAAACTGATTAGTGGCAAGTGGTTTGTTTTGCATTCAAGAAACAAGTTTAAAACGTTAATTGGAAGACAAAACTCTAGCATGGGCGTATAAGAACAAGGCCTGCTTGAAATCATATAACATCATTAGTGAACAGTCGATCAGACCCTCACTGCTTAAATCACACAATAAATTCCTTGTGCCCCACTTTTTTTTGCATATAATTCTCTTATTAGAGTTCTTAATGCTAACCAGAACACCTCGTTATTATTCGACATTTCTGCATAATGTCCAAAACATCGGATTCTTTCTCATTTTGTCCACATTGAAACCTTTCCTAAAGTCTACGGTTTTTTTTACAATATATAAAGCGGAGGTACCTAAATTCATCACTATTTGATAACATTGACTTTATTTGAATACCGAAATTCTTGATCATGTAGGGAAATAAATTATCTTCAAAAAAGTATTATTTTTTCTCACAATCTTCGATTTCATTTACATGCATTTCCTTCTTTATCTACTTATGTTAAAACAGCTATTGTTTATAACAGAAATTCAATTTTTAGGCAACAAACAATACTAGTTTCATATACTACAAAAAAATATGACAAAATACAAGCTTACCTCTTCGAGGACATCAGCAATCTTGCTGACTAATTCCTCTGGAAGCTGTTTAAAAGTCGGAACACTGTAAATACAATAGAAACACGAAATCAGCTAATTAATTAATTAATGTTATCCACATACAAGGACTCCCAAAGATAACCCAGGGCTGCTTACTTTTTCGCTATTCTCTCAAATCGTCGTCTAATTAAATGGTTATCTTGTACTCTCATACCAGCCGTTGTGGACAACTACATGTTCCTCGGAAGCAATAGCATCATGCCTCTCCGGAACTATCACTGCCGCCCGCTTATCATTCTACATAGTATATCTCCTAGCATCTATTGACCACGTGTCGTACAGTACAGCCTAAAGAACTTAGCATTGAGACGCTTTGTGCAGACCCTTTTAAACCTTGTGTTTGTATGTCAGTGCTTACACATCGAAAACCTACTGTAGAGAATACAGATCTTAACGATTACGTCACTGATATGTGCGAAAAGTAACGGGGAGATTGTTTGAGAAATCTCGAGATTACAGATTGTACGTCAGGCGATATATATAACACATCATACATGATATAGATATATAAAAACCCATTAATTCTATCACCACTTTTAAATAAAGATCTATATACAAAAGCGGTGAATTTGCCAAGGACGTCTATTATCGTTTGAGCCATAGATTTTACGCGTTTGTTGTACTTCATTTTTTCTCTCTTTCTTTAATATTAGAACTTTATACACACAATAGGTGTTTATGACCATGCTTTAGTCTGACAACAATTTAATTTGTGATCTATTGTGAAATTACCACAGCTTCTTAGGAAATACATGTACTTCGAATTTTTGGTTAAGTTCCTGCAGGCAAGGAAGGTTCTGGTTATGCGGATGAAAATCGTCCAAAAGCCCGCCAAATCAAACACGCAATAAATTGATTAACATGTGTTTTGACGCTTTTATAGATATAACTGACAATTCTGTTATAGAACCCATCACAGAAACTGACATTTCTATTCTTGGACTACATGTACGTTTCACAGAAACTGAAATTCTATTTTCAGGTCTGCAACAAGATTTCAAAGAAACTCAGACAAAATGGGACTAAATCAACATTCACAGAAACTGACGATTGTATTACAGTACTGCATCAACATTTCACTGACAATTTTGACAAGGACTGCGTCAAGATTTCAAAGATATTGACCATTGTATATTACAAGACTGCATCAGCATTTCAGAAGAAACTGACAATTCTATAACAGGATTAAATCAATATTTTCACTGAAGCTGACAATTACATGTATTATAAAGGACTAAATCAACATTTTCACGGAAAATGACAATTATTTTCAAGGACTAAATCAATATTTTCACAGCAAATGACAATTATTTTTAAGGACTAAATCAATATTTTCACAGCAAATGACAATTTTTTTAAAGGATTGCATAAACATTTTTACAGAAACTGATAATTCTATTATAGGTCTGTATCAACATTTCACATTTTGACCTGATCCTTGTTTCTTCGGAATAATTTTTACTATATTGAAGTTCTGATTTTCAATCTAAATTTGGAAATAATCATTTTCAATTTTAGATTGAAAATTAGTAATTTAAACGACAATATTATTAAAACGCGCACATAATTTTTCAGGCCCTTAGGAAGCAATTTCAGTTTGGAAATTGGGGAGCTCAACCATACATTTTTAGTTGAGGGGGCACTACTAATCAAACAATCCCTTGACACGCAAAATAAATAAATAAATAAAATAAATAAATAAAAATTTAAAGGGTCATCAGACGTTATTATTTTTGCAATTCCATAAAGTAGGTTTGTATTCTATAGTATACTCTATATCAGCAAAATTACTGGGGAAAAGGGGAAGGGCGGCTTGCCTCCCTCCCCCGATTCCTATGGGGCTGATTTTATCTGTTATACTGATGCCCCGTTTTACATTGAAGAGTATTAAAAAGAGGACATAATTAAAACAAATTATCAAATATATTTATTTTTGAAAAAAAATTCTTGATAAGATTTACTTATTTCAGAGAGCAGCATTTTTATTGCCGCATGCAGCCATGCTGTTGGGAACAAAGTTTAATGGAGAATTGGAGATCACGATACTCATACATTACTCTGGGGAGATGAAAAGTTAAACAATGTTGAAAATGAATACTTATTTTCTATTGTACAAACATTTACTAAAAAGTCAGGTCGTTTTGGTTGATGCAATAATTACTTCTTGCAAATTCTATACAGCTTGTATATTGTATAATGTTTCTCTGATTATTATGCTTTTCTGTGTTTTATTCATTTTAAGCTGAAACCCATATATGTAAATATGTTTTGGTATAATTCATATGTAGGGAGAGGGCGTATTAAGTTTTAAGAACTTTTGCCCAATCCCAGTTGTAAAGTTTATAGACAATAAAATATGTTCAAACCAGATCATGATGTTCGGAGCGCAATGTACATGTATATAATAAAGGTCCCACTGATAACTTAACTGTTTCTTAACATAGTTTTTAAATGAAATGTAAAACTTAAAGGTAATGATAACAGATCATGTTGTTTTTGCTTATATTCGCTCTGACACTGATGAAGAGAAATTATAACATGGTGATTTCTAGGATACTTAACGAAACCAGGCTTTAGAAGTAGATAGGTTTAAAAGAAAATAGGCTATACTAAAAGAATATTAATAATGGTATTTTTTTTACATAGCCTATACAATGTGAAACAATTTTGACCTCAGAGTTTATCTCGTTTGCTATGTTTTGCATCAAGGACAATATTTAAAACATTAGGAAATCAAAGATAAGATCAGATTTGGCTATTTAAAGAAGCTGAAAGTGTTTAACAGTCGTTCTGTACATTTTTTGATCTCGGTGCACTTTGTAAAACAGAGATTTCCTTTTTACGCCTAGTTAACCAGCCCAATAACTCTAAATCATAACAAAATCACGCATTTCAATTTCCTCGCTTAAATCATTCTCGCGCCTCTTGCCAAAACAAACAGAATTCGAAATTGGCAGACGAAGAACCCCGAGAGTTTTCAGAGAACAGGGAACTAGGATTAATTATCTATCAGAGTTGACAGTAACTTTCGCTTAAGAACCCTTTTGCCTGCAGGTGAGGAATTCTATCGATGAACAGCTCTCCATTCCAGCTACAAGTAAAAGATAATTGTCGCGCAATAACGTGATAAAAATCAAACCAAAATGTTGCCTTTTGGCATATGCCGAATCTTTCTAAATTGATTTCATATTTTATTAAGATTTTTATGAGAAATGCATGTTTCTTGTTAAGATCTAACAGGATTATCCATAATGACGTCAGTATTTAGCGAATACTATAGTAACTGTCATCACCTTGTTGTGCTTTCTTTTTATAAACTCGTATAAATTGTATTTTATAATCGCATTATTACAAGGTTACAAATAATAGCGAACCCAATGTAATGACCTTCATCAAATCGTGCCTGAAATCCTTTGATCAAATCTATATTTATTTATTCAAGCGATTTCCGTTGTAAGTATGATAAACAACCAAAAACACGAGGCAAATATCCTTCTATCGTGAAATTATCTTTCTGCCAAATGCTCTTTCCTACATCGCCTTCATACGGGTGTGAATCTCATTTATTTGAGTCAGGCACTTCTCATGTCAAACGGCACTAAAACAACTCTTAAATGAATACCCTACTACCTTCCTAAACTTAAATTAATGAAAATAAGTAAATTATCTCATAATTTGCATCTTCTTGGGAAAAAGGGGAAACTTCAGAGTGAGGTTGTTGAGAAAATTGAGGTAAAATGATGTAGAATAAGCCGGTGATATAGGCACCAAAAAAAAAAGACCCCTGTAGTTTCATTCAATTCAGAAAACAGTAGAAAACAGATGTATCACGTTGCTACATGTATATCTGGCATCGTTGAACTGTGCTCTAAGAATTTGATTCTCTGCAAAAGTGTTTTGAAATGAAGATATAAATTATATATATATATATATATATATATATATATATATATATATATATATATATATATATATATATATATATATACACAGATGAACTTTGGTATCTCGAACATGGGATATCTCGAATACCATGGATATGTCCAGGCGATTAGAAGTCCTAACCTCATATTTCTTAAGTAATTTACCCTCGAACCCTCGGATATCTCGAAGTTTTTCTCGGTCCCATCGAGTTCTATATAACGAGGTTCGACTGTATATTTATTATTGATTTAGACAGAATAAGTAGTAACATAAATAACTTAAATTACTGAAATTCTAGAAAAGTGACAAAATACACCTCTATACTGCGTGCATACTCAATTACATTCCTAGAGGATTAACCTAAAACCTTTTTTACCGATTCATTAGCATCATTTTGAACTTAAAATAATTCGTGTTTATTTGACAAGAGTAAATATAGAATGCATCTTAAAGCATAGTACAAAATTTTCCTTAATTTTCAAGCCATTCAAACATAATGAACAGCGAAAATCAATTTTCTTTGAAAAATTGGCAAGAATTAACTTCAAGGTTTACTTTTAAACTTTCCACTGCTTATCAAAACTAAAAATAAAATGTATTTATGTTTTCTGCTTATAGTGATAAATGAATGATAAACGATATTCATAAGATCTAAATCGAGACCAGCTATCCCCGACCAGGCCCCAAAAAACCAGATATCTGGAGATATAATGTATAATCTACGGGGAACTGGGGGGTTTTCTGTTAAGGAAACCAGAGGTCACTGTTTTGTGAGATACGAAGAAATAAACTGTAGATTGTTCGATATACATGTAGGTTACTATGGTTTGATAAACTTTATATGTAGTCGACACAGTAGGATGGTACAACAAAGCGTGTGTCTAATCATAGAAAATTATCTATCTTACATATACGGATGACATCTCAAAGATGATTACATTGAATTCACTTAGCTTGTTTTCATTGTTCGTGTGACAATACAAAATAATATAACACATTTAAGCTTGTCTTCAGTCATTAAAAATAATCGTTTTGAAGACCTTGAACACACCCTCTAAAAATCAGGAAAGAATGAGTTTGTGTTTCATATGTAGGCCAACCAGATTACCGATTTTGAAAAATTCGGTTGAAATGCCAGCATAATAATTCAAACATCAGGATAACAAAGGAAAATAATTCATTTTTATAATTAAATAACTATATTGTTAGAGGTTTCCGAAAATCGAACACATGCATGACGTAGGCTATATATTAAAACAGCTCCAAAGCAAACCCCACTGTTGGAACTAATATTCTATGAATGAAGATGCATGCGTTTATTAAGTTTTGCCGGTATATAATTCATTAAGTCGTCCTTTGTTTTGTACAAGTTGTTTACGTTTAGACACTGTCTTGGCATCATCATCTTGTGTTCCAGCTGATTTCGTGATTTTATTTTACAGACATACACATTCCATATCGACATCAAACGTTACACATCGTTATACATGATATAAATGTTGAGTCAGCTAACTAGCAGATACTCAAGATCTACTGAAACAATCACTCTATGATTTTATGACATGAGGCTCGTGATCAAATATAGAATACGTCACTGTTGCTAAAATCAAAGTTTAATTTTTTTCTCATTATTTTTTCATATTCATAGAAAAAAGAAACTTATGGAGAAAGAAAATAAATAACTCAAAAAAAGTAATAATCACTCTATAGAATAAACTAATATTTAAATTTGATTGATATTCAAATACATGTATGTGGTGGTAGGTTGCATGGTAGTTGATATATTTGTTGGTCTCATATAAATATTGGATGCATCTTTGCATAATATCCACTATCACAACTTTACATATAAATCAGAGAAATATTCCTGTTTCGTTTGATGATTTTTTAATTTGCATTTTTTCCTCTATATTTTCAATGAATAACTCTGCTGTGCAAGACATAACGGATTTCCTACACAACAAATATAGAACGTTTAATTATTTAATATATGTCTTGTATGGCAATTAATTGTCAATAGCGTTTTCCCCCAAAATGTAAGGGGAATAAAAATTTAAAAGTTAACCATTCTTAACTACATGTAGCTGGCACCGCAGCATTCAATTTTGAAGAACAAAGAAAGATAACTCTAATCTACAACATGGAATACTCCTGAAAGTAAATGTTGAACTATGACTCTCGAGAAAATTCGCTTTCAATTCGACACGAATACTTCTATTTCATAATGAAATACAAATTTCTGCAAAAGTGGTTCTGAACATGCTTTTTTGCTTTGTTCCCAAATACGTCGCCAACGGGTTTTTTTTATTTAACTTAATTTCTTCTTTTTTCCCATGAGTCTCAGGTTTTGAATTTTATAATTATCACAGAGTCATTTACATCACTATATTTACATTTCCAATGTCTTTGTCCAAGATAAAATTTCAAATAGTAAAAATACTTTATTTCTACATAAATCTACTGGTTCATCGATAGGCGTGGTGAAAAAAAATCACGTGCGGAGCGGGACAAATAGAGACAGAAGCGGGACTATTAGCACGGGAATTTGCAGAATCAAGAACATGTAAATATAAGGAATAACTGTCAGATTTTTTGGTTTCATGACGATGATCAATCGATTGGCTTGCGTGATAATTTTATGCATAAACGCCGAAGTTTGGCTCAGAAATAAAAAAAATCATGAATAAAGTATTTTTATGCGAAGTATAATAATTTCACTCCAAATCTTGTAGGAGTTTTGTATTTTATAAACATAGACGGATATTTAATGATGATAGGAAATGTGACTTAGGGTGGCTCTGTTGATATTTTAATGCTGTTTAGGGAGACTGACCTCCTTAGGAACTCCATATGCTCCTCGTGTCTCATTAGCCCTGTTCTCATCATTATACTCTGGAAACATGGCCGGTCTATCGCCCATAGCTTACAGTTCACCAGGGCTGAAATTGACAAGATATAAAACTATGTTTTATACTTCATTGTCTATGTAAATGTTTCTTTTTTTTTATTAATACATGTACATGAATTCTGGATGCTATGTGTATAACATCGTCGCAAACCACGGCCAACATGAATGATCCTCTCCCATTCTGGCCACGGGTAGGAGAGAGCTATATGCGGACTCCAAACCGTGGCTTGAGACGATATGTGTATAATAAATATAGTATTATTTACTGAGCTTCTGAAGCACGGGGGACATTGCACGACGTACGAAGATGGACAAACCGAACAGCGATAGCATACCTGAGTCGCATTGTGAAAAAACTCTTTCCTTTATCTAGTTGGAAAAACTCTTTACTGTGAAAGCATTCTAGTGAACTATTGCTCTATTTGCTATAATGATAGAGATATTTCATAAAGTAATTATTTATTAAATGTACTTTTTTTAAACAGCAGCAAAGTAATCTGCATCATTATGGTACATAGTATCGTAAACTGTTTGATATTGTTTGTTTACTATATCAATAGAACTGTCCATCATCTCTCAACAATCCTGGAGGTGTCAACGTTCACTAACCCTGTGATAAGAGGGATAACTCTTACTAGAATAAATGGCTATTATTCCTTTATGAAGACATTTTCTGTCAAATTCTGCCCCGCATTTAGGTATGCTTAAAATGTGTGCATTGTAATAATATTTTGTTCGGGAAAATCATTTGTTTTAAAGGAGAATTTAGTTTATAATCCGTCTTGCTATTGACAGTACCACTGCAAACCATTTTTCCCTATTGATAGCCATTTCAAAATGCAATATACAGTATAATGGGTTTTCCTTATCGGTTTAGGGAGCATAACCTGTCTAGCTAGAAAGGGGAAGTGGTGTGTATAACGTGTCTCGCAAAAACAGGCTAGTGATATTTCTCGTTATAACTTAAGCTATGTAACGTTCATATCCTCTTTCGCTATAAAGGATAAGTGTATAATGTGCAGAACTTGTCTCGCTTTAACAGCTTAGTGATGTTATATACATAACCTTTCTTACTATTACCGTAGTTACATGTAAATGCAACGTTGATAACCCCTTTTGCTATAACGGGGTAGGATTCTTTTTGCATATTGTGTCTCTTTATAACAGAAGGGATGTAATGTACATAAGCTCTCTCGCTATATAACAGTAGAAGAGTAATGTGCATTATCGATCTAGCTGTAGCACTCTTGCTATAACAGGGTACATTGTAATGTGCTTTCTCGCTATAACTGGGTAGTAATGTGCTTTGAATGCTTTTTCGCTTTAACGGTAGAAGCGTAGTGTGCATTACCTATCTTACTATAACGGGGTAGTAGTGTATTAAATGTTCTCGCTGTAACGGTAGCAGCTTAGTGTGCATAACGTATCTTGCTAGAACGGATAGTGCAATGTGCTTTCCCGCTATTTCTGCTATAACTGTAGTAGCGTAGTGTGCATTACCTATCTCGCTATTCTGGCTGTATACGGTAGGAGTGCAATACGCTTTATCACTCTGTATCGATAGCAGTGTAAACATATCACATCTACTTGGAAACTTTATCTTTTCTTTAATAAACTTGAACAGTGTCATTTCAAAGCAATTTAAAGTCAATCACGTCTTTTCAATTTGAACATGCCTCTGTTATTCTGTTGTCCACAGTTCTGATATGTTCAAGATGTCGAGAGTTCTGATATGTTCAAGATAGCTGTATAGAAGTTTCTTTCATGATAAAATATATGTGCACTTTACGAAGTTCTTTTAACTCCTCCAATTCCTTTTTAAGTCAAAAAGAGTTATAGGAAGTGAATTATCAAGATTTCCTTGCATTTAAACGCTGATTCTCTTGGACAAAAACTCTTTGATGATTGTTTTTTCTGATAATTACCTTTGACACTCGCGGTTCTGGTACAGTTGTAGAGTATGGCCAGTTCCCCAAATACCTTGGCGGGCCCCATCGTACATAATTTCTGTCCATCTTTTGTCACTTCCACTTTACCCTCTAATAAAAAAATAAAATTAAAACAATAACACATGCTCAAAGGGATTTTTCTGCTAATCTTTGATGCATTATATAAATTTCAGCTTTAAAAAAATAACATCTCCTCTCAGAGTGACGGTTCTTTGTTTAGAGTTGCCCATCAAAAATATCTGACAACCACCACAACAAAGAATTATAATTAGTAAATCTTTCGTGTTTTGTGTGAGTAAAAAGAAATCACGAAGTCGTTGTTATATACGGTCTTTCTCTGTGTGAATTATGTGTCACTTCCTACTTTGAGGGAGTGCATCCTTCCATGACTTATTTATCATGTAGCTGCATTGTCTCTGATGTTGTGGTAGCCTATCCCACCCCCAGACTTAGGTACAAAGGTCAACATCACCTGTATGATTTAATTATTTATAGTAGCGGGGGTGTGGTCTGTAAGTGCGTTTTATTTATTTTTAGTGCATTAGCATGATGTAATTCTTTGATTGATCAGCCCTGTTAAAATTTGTACACTTAGAATGACGATGGACATGTTCTGTAAACGACAAAATATTCGGTCGCTGACAGTTAAGTGCCTACAGTTCAGAGTCACGTGTTTATATCCATTTATTTGGTGATATTCCAGCAACGTCATTCTTCAAACTTTTCATCTTTTCTTCAAAACATTAATTAATGCGATTAAGAAAGAATCAAAAGAACATCTTTATGTCGTAAAATTAAATACAAATTTAAAATCAGTGCCTAAACAATTCAATAGGCACGTATTACATACCAATCAATTCTCTAAAAATAAATGTCTTTCCTGTAAATTAATGTACATACATGTATTAATGCCGAGAGTCATATTTTTGCTCCCTTGCCACAATCCTTTGAAAGCTTTAAGACCTCCTAAATCTATTAAGAAAAAATAATACATAATTCTTGTGATGCTAATTGAGGATTATGCCTTATAATCCCCGATGAATGTTCACTTGTGCGTTATATTTCCTGATTAATGTTCACTTGTGCCTTATATTTCCTGATTAATGTTCACTTGTGCCTTATATAATCCCTGATTAATGTTCACTTGTGCCTTATATAATCCCTGATTAATGTTCACTTGTGCCTTATATAATCCCTGATTAATGTTCACTTGTGCCTTATATTTCCTGATTAATGTTCACTTGTGCCTTATATAATCCCTGATTAATGTTCACTTGTGCCTTATATTTCCTGATTAATGTCACTTGTGCCTTATAATCCTTGATTAATGTTCACTTGTGCCTTATATTTCCTGATTAATGTTCACTTGTGCCTTATATTTCCTGATTAATGTGAGTACGCTAACATAAGGGTACGTGTTTATTTTAAGAATGTACACCACACCCACCCTAAAAATTTCTTTCATGATAAAATATATGTTTTCATAATTTTTTCTCTTTATTTTATAAAAGACAGTACTTTATGTGAGAACATTTTTGACAAAATCGTGTAACGAAGTAATTGATCCGAAAGTTACCGATCCCGAGCTCATCATGAGAAACAATTAACGGATGATAAAAATGCCAATATCCCAAATAAATCAGCTCTGCATGATTGTGAAATTTAAGTGACTCATTCATTTGACCATTAAAGACATAGAAAATACGATTTTACAATAGTATTTTTAAAAATGAATTACGTGAATTTGAACTGAAAATAATCAAAATATATTATTCAATTTAGCCTTTAAAAATCGGTGTTTTCCAAAATAATTTTTTTCAATTGTAGGGGAAAAATCTTTGGTTAATTTCCTTCTTCATACAGCTGATTCCCAAAACAATCTTGAATTCAAAAAAAAATTAATGTTACGCCTAAACATGACAAGTATCAAACAGCTCAGAATATAATTGTTCTATGGAGAAGGCTTAGGTTGTGTGTCTACTGTCACTCTTATTATGTATATGACATAATAAAACATTGTTTAAATTAACCGTGGGTGTCTAAACAATATAGAAAATGATGAGAATTTAAGTAACAATTGCATAGAACCCTATAAAGACCTGAAATATTTTACATGCATATATTATATTGTTATGTTTTTGCGTCCCTGATAACCAAGCAAGCGTCTAGTTCTGCCCTTTGTGTCAACCGTGCATTATTCACAACCTCTATTAGGAATTTAACAAAAACGCAAATCACAGGTGCTTGTGGACAGGACCCCCCCCCCCCCCATATAACACCTTGGGTCCAAGGATAATTTTCTTTGTCTTCTTTCATAAGTTATTCTTCTATCACATATTTTCAATGTATTTCATATGGAAAATCTAACAAAAATAACGTAGAATAAACTTTTTATTAAAAAATCATACCCACGGTATTATAAAATCTGCATGTATTTTCATTTGGAACACTTCTGTTCCATTCGACTTCGATCACAGACAACATCATGTCAACAAATGTCAATGCAATGTTCTCACAACCCAATGATTGACGCACTTCACTTGTGTATTTATTTTGTTTCTAAGCAACTTAAGAATAGCATTAATAAACTACTATACACGTTTATTTAAGTCTTAACAGGGTTGAAAATAACCACTCGTCCACTAGCAAGTGCTAGCAATTTTTTCTGTGGGGAAACAATTCTTGAAGATGTAATCGCCCACAAGGCGAGTAAGAATTTTATCAACTTTTCCAGAAGCTGACCATGTTTTGATTCTACAATTAAATGCACTTTCATTTTCATAGTTTCCTACCTACAAAATGTTTTCTAGACCCTGAATTCTCCCATAATTTTGCGATATAATTTCCCATAATCTTGAAATTAAGAAAAATATAACCAAAAAAAATCATGCAATAGCATTTATGGTGTCAAAATCATCAGGGAAATGAAAGATTGTGGACAGCAAAGTATACTTCTCAGAGATTAAAATACAAAAAGATTGAGAATTTCTAACAAAGTGGAGAGGAAATCTGGGCCCCAAAATATCAATGTGGGCTAGTAAAACGTGTAAAGATGGGGGTCCGCATGGCTCTTAAGGTTTAAAATGTTATTTGCAATCCTTTAAGAGTGTTTATTCCAAACCGATCATGTTTTGAATAAACTGGAATTTTCTCTTGCAATATTCACAATCTTCATGTTGAATGCAGATTGATTTGATATCTATGAATATAAACATTGTTGTTTAATTTACAACACTACTGTAAAACATTGTAAAAACATCGTTAAAACAGTTTGCAGTTGCAGGGATTTTTATTTCAAATGAAAAATTAACAAAGTATACATTACATAGTAAAATCTGTAAAAAAATATTTACTTTCGTATTAACATTTATTATATCTACTTTTGTATTTATGTTTATTATATCTACATTTGTATTTACATTTATTATACCAACTTAAGTATTTACATTTATTATTTCTGCTTTTGTATTAACATTTATATCTAATTTTGTATGTGCATTTATTATATTTACTTTCGTATTTACATTTATTATATCAAGTTTCGTATTTACATTTATTATATCTACTTTCGTATTAACATTTATTATATCTACTTTTGTATTTATGTTTATTATATCTACATTTGTATTTACATTTATTATACCAACTTAAGTATTTACATTTATTATTTCTGCTTTTGTATTAACATTTATATCTAATTTTGTATGTGCATTTATTATATTTACTTTCGTATTTACATTTATTATATCAAGTTTCGTATTTACATTTATTATATCTACTTTCGTATTTACATTTATTACATCTACTTTTGTATTTACATTTATCATAGGTTTTAGATTGTTATGTCTAATTATATGACCCCGGACAAAGCATGGGCGACCACGGACACTCTTCGTTATTTATTAAGTTGGGAGTTATTTTCTATCAGAAAAGTCTAGTGCCTGTGGGGACGACGTATTGTCACTGTTCCACCTCGAAGATGGCTTGGACAATCTTATTGAATTTAAAAAAAAATGGTCATAAAGTTAAGTTTTGCTATCAAAATTAAAAATTTTCAACATTACAACCATTGCCATAGAAATAAAAATGAGTAATTATTTTTTTAATTGAATTTTTGCAAAAATTTACAATAGTATTTGCTTACTCTGTTTCAATGTTGTACTGTTGGTATCAGGGATGGCATGTGCTATAACTTGCAACAGCGGTTTCTAGTTTTTATTATTGACCCTGTTCAGTGTATTTTTTTTAGTACAAACCACTTCCCATAATTTTGAGAATTCAAAAATCTTCAACACTTTTAACTTACACATTGTCTTTTTCTTCAGGTACATGATTCTCAAAAAAGTTTGAGCTACACTACTATACAATTGTTAACCTTTAAGGATCAGACATAATTCTTTTTTTCTGTACGGTCAGCGAAGTAGACAATTAGTAGTGCCTATAATCAAAAGACTCAGGAAATTTAAGTACTAGTTTTGTTATAGGAAACATTCACAAAAGAATCTGTAGGAATACTTGGGTTAATACAAATAAGTGTGTCTACTTTGAAGACTCCGTAGATAAGACTCCTGACTGTGATAAGTGTGAAGACGGCGCTTAGTTTTTATTAGTTGTGACATTGACAAGACTCACGTGTGGCAGGACTATACAGCTGTAATAATGCCTGGTACTTAACATCTAGGAAGGGAACTTATCATCAAAGGCAAATTACACCAAAATCTTCTAACTTAGTCTGCAACTTCATATCAATTTCAAAGTCAGCCAAATGCTCATGTAGATGCGTAATTCTTATAAGCATTCTGGCAATGAATGTTAAACCAGGGTGTCTATCATTGGATATTCCTGTAGGAGCCATATTTTCTTAAAATCAAAATTGACCTTTGGCAAAATAGGTCTTACAGCAATTTGAAAAATACTTTTCCCAGCTGTTCTTTACACCCTACTCTGTGCCATTGAAAAAACGTCGGGAGAACATACATAATTGTATGATATAGCGTAATCAGTGGTATGTAAAAACGATCCATGTTAATTTACTATTTATAAAGTATTTCTTCAACAGATCATCCGGAAAACTAGAAACAAGCGCGGCGAGAACAGACGCACAATAGCTTTGCTTTCTCCGGCGCATGTTTCCCGTCATTCCGCGCGGTGAATGAAATTACATCCCCTTTGGCTTTTCAATTACCCTGTTTGAGCAAGTTATCTGGAGATGTAAACAAGTGCGATGTTTGGAAAACTGAAATCGTTCAACTTTTCGGTAGATTAAATAAGATAATGCGTTATTTCATACTATAGACAAGAGGAATACACATTCAAGTTTTTCAAATTCTAAACTCCCTGGCGGAAACCGCGCGTGTTCAATATCAGCTATAAACAAAACATGAATCGTAAAAATATCACCAAACTCTGAGCACATCAATTGGAGTAACTTTTCCTAAACTTAACATTTATTTCTGGTTATTTAAAAACAGTGACCGAGAAATTTTGTCGTTAGGCTAACAAAAGTCTAGAATCATGCACAGATCAATAAATGTATATAAATAATATGATAACCCGTGACCCTGAAGTGGGCGATTTTAGAGTTAGGCTTTCACATTCCAAAGAACATGAGTTTTACACAGATAAGCAAAAACTTGTAAAATATTAAAATCGCTGTGTACTGGTTTCCTGAGCCGAAGTAAAGCTGATATTTTATAGTCCTGTTTGAGGTATCTAATACCCTTTATTGTGTTCTTTGATGTACCTGTATATGTGTCTCATATAGTGTACTGACTACCTCTAACCCATAGCTTGACCTTATTTAATAATGAAATCCTTTTTTCTGATGTGACGTCTCCCAGAACATTATTAAATCGTTCAATGAGATCTTGTATCAAAATAATCGAAGATTCTTACGAATCACCTGATGAAAAAATAGCAATCTCTTTTCTAGATAAATCTTAATAAAATACAAAATTAATGATGCTCCCATTTTAGCAGGAGTATCATATAACATATAGGCTTGTAGCTGTTTCAGGGCAATCAATTTTTCTAAAGTTTAATACCTGAAAGCCCTTTCGACCAAAAAATTATTTCAATTTAACACCTGCGTCACACCAAGAATATGCTTAAATCTAACCTCAACGATCAAAATAGACAGAATTATCATCTTAGTAAGTCTAAAGTTAGGATTGTTTTTTGTTTGTTTAACGTCCCTATGGAGAATTTTTCACTCATATTGAGACGCCATCACTTGCCGGTGGAGGGCTGCAAATTTTAGATCTATACTCAATGAGGGATCTTTTTCGTGCCAGCACCTACTGCAACACGAGACCTCGGTTCATACGGTATACACTTTAGATTTTATTGTAAAGGCTGTTAATCTTATTAGTCTCCTACCTGTGAAACCGGAGGGGACTAAAGGTTTCCTCCTCGTCTGTCCATCCGTCTGTCTGTCTGTCTGTCTGTCTGTCTCTGTCAATCTGTCCCACTTAGTTTTCCGCACTTTTTTTCTAAAAGCTTGCAGATACTGAGCTGATTTTTGGCATGTGAGTCTACTTTGATGAGTTACAGATCAAAGTTTTGCATTTTGTTCTGCTACAATGATATTTGACGGAATTACGGCATTTTCAATTTTTAAAGGGAACAAGATTACACTTGCCGGTAGGTGACTAGTATTGCTTATGCAATACTTTCACAATGCTTGTTAGAAAAGTGTTTGTGAGAGTGACATCAATTATGTGTATAAGCGTATGCGCCAGCCCACCCCACCCCCTTTTCTTTTTTTCCGCCACTCGGTATTTGTCATGTGTTACGTTACCTTCCATGACGTAGACGAGAGAACCCACATCTCCTTCTTTGATGATCAGACTGTCTTTGGTGTACTCCACGGGGTACATGCAGTCCACGATCTCCCGAATCTGCCCCATGTCTAGATTCTTCATGAAGTCATTGTCAAGGATAGCTTGTCGTATTAGCTCTCGGGAACTGCAAAGATAACCCACAGAAATATATAAAATACTAGCAGACCATTTTCAGCAAGATTGAAACAGCTAATATTTTAAAGAGAAGAAATCTAAAGTTTACATTTTGATACAAGGTGTACTTTTCACATTAATTATCTACCAATGGGCGATCCAGATATACACTCAACTGATGATAATTTTATAAATGTCTATAGATATTGTTATGTACCAGTTAACTTTAATTTAACCTATAATTCATAAACAATATTTTAAAAACACTTTCTCTGTTATCTACCAAAGATAACTTTTATAACAACATGCCGAACAACTGCAAACATGGGTGTAACGAAATCATTGCTATTAATGTATCATATAGGTTTCTTTAAATACATAACACTATTGAAAATTTCTGTTAGATTCTTTCCTTTATACGTGTATTTTCAATGTTTTTGCAAATTTATACTTTTGATGTAAAACCATAGATTATATAAAATTCAAAAATTACAAAGATCAGAGTAATTTACAAACATTTAACACAGGTTTAACACAGGTTTGGTACAAATTGGGCAAGTCTATGCCATAAACTATATTTCATCTTAAGGTTAAAATATTCTGTCATCCGCCCAAAAACTTAGAATGAAATGCTTTTAATATTGACATTTCAGGATTGACACTAAATATAGTGTTCATTGTCCTCATATCATACTAGGCTTTCTAGTTTCTGCAGCTTACTTTACAATATCATGTATTCATATCAAATGTTTACTTTCTATAGGTTTATTGGTATACATGTACATAAGCAATGTATTTACGTGTGAGTATATGCTTTGAAATGTATGTTAAACATAATTATGAAGTTTTTTTTTAAATAATGAGACACTCATTTTTAATTGGTTGCATGGAACTGTACGAACTAATGAGTCAGAATTTCACGAGCACCGGTCCTTGATGCAGCAATATTCCAAGACTTCTGAAGAAGTTTAAAAATTGCACAAGCCACATCATCTGCATTCAATGCAGAAAAGATGGCACAACATAAGATATAACGCTTAGATTCTTGAAAAAGAGTGGGTTTTCTTGGTTATGATTAGGTGATAAATTCTATTGTTAGCAGTTGTGTTTTATGTGGTGATTTTGAAAATAAATCATTTGTATCTCAAACTGCAGACCTCTGATAAGAGGGAAGATTGAGGCATCCTGCAGTGAGGTTTGTATCAATGAGACGGTTTATTCCACAGGTTTATTTAGCAGTTATCAGAATGCTGACCAACACGATTTATCATTTACGATAAAAACACTACAAAATTTTATCTTTTTCTGAACCGGAATGTCTGGTTTGGGAAGATGGCACCTAAATAAACATACTTTAAACGTCAAACTTTTTGTGCGGTAAAAAGTCTAAGTATTTTCTTGTTTTTTTTTTTTCCAGTTTTCTTTAAAAGTCATCTCTATCTGTTTGTTAAAGTGTGCATGCCATTTCAAATCGCTGACATTTTCCTTAGAATCCCTTCTGACCAATGCCATAAAAGTTCTGTTGTTCGCGTGCGTATGTACATTTACGTATTCGTTATTTCTAAAACAAGAGAGAAATCGCTTGCGTTTTACTTATATTTCGCTCACCAAATAAGGCATGATATGGCATGATATACAAACACTGTAACCAATTCTTGACTGCCCTCATTTTTTCACTTGAAAATAAAATTTGGTACTTTTTAGCCAAAGTAGGCAAGCAGTGTATACTTACGCATTAGATTTCGGTACCTTAACCGTTTTACGTGACGCTAAAACCGTACTACAGTTTGGAGATTCCGCCGATATCGCTGTCCTTTTGATACGGTCCCTTGACTGTGCTAGCCTTTTTTTGGCGGGTTGGACAACTGTGGAGGCAGGTTTTAGAATAGATCTGTACTTATCCAACTCATTTTGTAACTTCTTAATTAAGTCATCTTTATCGTCAAGCTCAGATTCAAGCTCGTCAATGAGCTCGTCCCGTTGACGCAGCTCTTGGATTTTCTCGCTGAGTGATAACTGCAGATCACGAAGAGTACCCATTTCGTTCTCAGAATCCATGCATGATTTTAATTCTTATCGTAACAAGAGTCAATACGTGTTAATTCCGTAAGTAACTTCCTGTAAGTCCATCAAAACACCTCAGTAGATAATGAATTTCACAAATGATTAAAGGATAATCTGTTGTGCAAGTGTTTGGTCTTGATGAAGTTAATTCTGAGGAGCGGGCACGGGTTTACAAACATTTGATAAGGCTTATCGGCCCGCTATCGTGCCTGAACCCCGTCACAACGTTCTCAGTGGTGAAGATGTTCCCTTACTTCCGGAAGCAATTCACAGGTAAGACAAGAAACCTTTCAGACATAGGTATACATCCATCAGAAAAGACAATCGATCTGGTATAAAGTTTACATCATTTCGCAACAAAAGAACACAGGATAATAAACTGCTGACAATTATCACATGGGCTTCTGCTATTGGCTACTTCTGGAACTGACAAGTCTGCTAAATTCCATTGACACAAAAGCCTTACGTTTAAAGTTTTCGTCTCAGTCTCAGCTGTACTGTTCACGTAATATTTACACAAATGTCTCTCGACAATTATCAACTAATTACCTGTATCTGTTCCCATCAATTCCAATAATTAATCAATCAAAGCAACTCCAAAGGTCTGCTTTGTTCTGTAGCTTTATGGCTCAAGACGAATTCTGGTTCCGATTTCACAAAAGCTATGCCAAAAAACATTCCATTTTTTTTCAAATTTGAGAGACGAGCAGATGAAGCACCTGCTAGAGTTCTAGTGAGGAAATCCGCTCTACCTGCCCTGTAATTCCGAGGGCTCACTATTAGACCTCCTATACTCCTGTGCAAAGACCAATGCTTTATAATGAAGTGCTTTTGATCTCTTCTCTCCTCGGTGTCTCTGATTGCTGGTGTTAGGGCATGTTGAAATTCTTGTTCAAACTACCAGGATTCAAGAAAAGGAAGTTTGTTTTATTTACCCTTCAAGATGAGCGAACGCCATTCAAGAGTTGCCATTAATTAATTTAGTATACACGTGAAGAACGTTACTCATAGACTGAAGTCTCTGATCACACAGAGAGTTTTATGAACATTCTGCATGTATGCATGAAGACAGGGAAGAAAAACTAACGGATAAATAAACATCTCAATATTGATAATGTTGGCTTATCTTAACACAAATTCAAATATTTCTATGTTTTCTTTCAACTGAATGTTCCAATCTTATACCGTATCACGTGGAAATGTTTTTAGAAACCTTAACTTTATGTCGACACTTCTCTAGAGACTGAGGTAAAACATAAAATTCCAAGTAAGATAAGATGTAGCACGTGTATTGAGATTTCCTCGCACCCTGAACTGTGGAGGTACGATCCTACAAAAGGAGCTCCATTATCTGGAGAAAAAGCCGCATGGAGGACAAAAAATCAACATTAAGTGTTCTGGTGAATGATTTTCACTTGGATTTTCGTACTTTTCTTATTTATTACGTTTGCTGTATCTGCCGCAGTAGCAGGAATGTGTACTTAATAACCCCTGTAGAATCTGTAAACCCTGATAACGTTACCGTCCTTGTCTGAAAACTTGTTTTCTGTGTAGACACGGGGTAAAAAAAGATTTCCAAATCATTAGACAAGGTTTACACGACTTTTTTTCTTGTCAGACACGGAACATTTAGCGAGAATTCTCTACCCCTGATTCCAGTTGGTAACAAAGGCACATCGATGACTTGAAAATTAATTATCAAATGTTTTTGCTGTTTGTATCACCCGTTCTTTTTCATGAATGAAATTAAAAATTTCTGCTTCAGACAACATATCAGTATTTTATATTTTCTTTTCGCTTCCCAGTGTAATAATTAATCTGAATGTTAAGTCAGACGATATCTTTGTGATTTAGACGTATTTTCCCCACACATTAGAATAAAAAAACGTATCATTGACGCTGTTAAAATAATCGTCATTATTTACAGCTGCACTCAACATTATTTAAGATTTTTTTAATGAAGATACATTGCCTAAAATTTAATTTAAATACATAAGAATAGGCGTTATTTGCGGTCTTTGAAAGGTCTTCTCTTTGAGTATCATGTTCTCGTGTTTGTCTGTGTTAGAGGGCTTATGAAGTATTATCTTAGTGTATGCTAGAAATATAAAATATTCAACAAAATTTCTTCATGAACTGAGAGCCAGAATCATTGTATGGGCGGCGGAAAGGGTAAAAAAAAAAAGACATTAAAGCAAAAGGAACAAAAAAAATTTCAAAAACATACTGAAAAACAAGACAAACAGCTTAAAATTAAATTAACAGACCCATTTGTAAAATCAACAGACTCCGTTACAAAACGAACGATCACCGATTCAAAACCAATAGTCGCTAACTGAAATGACGCTAGATGACGTGCAATAAAGAACAGTCATAATCTGAATTAACACTAGATGGCACGCTAGTCTGGAAATTATGGAAAGCCAAAGGGTTCAACTCTGTAATTTCTTAAATACATGTAAAGCTCAATTATGTAAATAGTAAATTGTACGTTATAGCAACTTGTTTATTTTAACTGTTCTGTGCAAAACTATATTGATCAATGAACAACATTGTATTGGTAGACTTGCGATTTGTCAACTCATGAAATGTAGAAATTTATTTCTTTGCACTACGCTTATGCTCACAAGGTAGAATAAAGTTTTATTTTAAAAAATCATAGCGGCGGTATCATATTTTATGAGGCTATGAGCATGATGTTTTAATACAATTTTTTTGTTAATTTTATTTTTTTTTTTTATCATATTGAATATATTATTAATGTGTTAGATAAATAAATGATCCAGAAACAAAAATGTATTTTAAAAAGTGTGTATATACTAAGGAGGATGGGATGGGGCTCATGTCCAAAAGCACCTGCGGCTTATCCTAACCAGAATTTCCAAATCAACCAAAATCAGCTGCTCCTGAGGCTGTTTGCAAAAAATATTTAGTAATATGATAGAGTGGGGTGAATTTCAGGATCGAAACTTTCCGATTTTTCTTTTTAAAAAACAGTACATTTGTATATATAGGCGGAATCTTGATAAATACAATCTAAATAGCCTTGTTTTTACAATAACCCTACGTTTTAGTTCTTTGCAGCTGTTGAACAGAAGTTTCCCAGAAAGGGGTGTCTTAACTTCATATCTGTGTTCACTGTTCAATGTATACATGTATAACCCTTCCCCTACTTTCTGGAAGAGAAAAAAATCAGTAATCTGACATTGTTAAAATAATAATCAAACAATATTCGTAGTTATAGAGAGATGCAGCGGGGATAGACGGTCATAGAACCCTCTCCCTCACCTTATAATTTTCAGCATCGTTGGTTGAGCATAATTTTAAGTAAAATAAAGAGGAAATAACCTTTTAAAATGGATCCCTTACAAAAATAGAGACAAAACTGCCTTCCACACAAATGTTTGAAGGCCTGCATGACCTCGCCCCCCTCCTTTCCCAAAACATTCTTCCATCCCAACCCCACCACTACTACCACCATAGGGTGTTCGCTTCGTGATCGGGAGGCCCGGGTTTGATTCTCGTCAAACCTAAGACGTAAAAATAGGTAGTGACTGGTCCTTCGCCACTTCGCAAAGCGCTCGGCATTAGGAGTGAAAGTCACGGGTCTTTCGGATGAGATCTTAAAACCCGAGGTCCCGTGTCTTGGTAGGCGTTGGCACGATAAAGAACCCTCACTGCTCAAAGACCGAGAGTGCCGAGAATAGGTCTTAATTTGAAGCCCTTCACCGATATATGGTGACGTCTCTATATGGGTGAAAAATTTTCGAATGGGACGTAAAACAACATACTATCAATCAATCAGTTTGTTTGTTTTTTTTTTTTTTTTTGGTTTGTTTTTTTTTTTTGGCAAAATTAATTGTTAGATTTGCGTTAAAGTTTTTTCCTTTCCGCTGCTCACATCATTGTATTTTGGGTGGTGTCTGCCTTTTGTGTACCAGAAATTATAGCTGATGTCTTTACGTACATGTCAAGATGTACTCCTCATATCATGTCTTTTCAAAAAAGACGAGATTTACAGAAACATGCATTGTTGTCAGTATTAATGATCTTGATTCTGCAGCATCCCATACCTTTGTGCCACTACCCATGTTAACACATTGCTGCTGGAAAATTTGACAAAATTCTGCGAGAAAATCAAAAAAGTCCGTCGGCAAAGACAGAACACACTGATCAAGCATAACAGAAAAAGAGAAAGCTAAGCAATTCCAAACGAATGTTACATAACTGAAAATTATACATTTTTCAAGACGTTTACTGTAATGATTAGGATCAAACTGCAAGATATTATTGTAACCTGAACAGGAACGCGAAATTAACTTGCTTCATAGACACATAAATTATGAGTTTAGAAGCATTATCAAAACTTATACATTATGCAAACCTAATATAAAATTAATAAAGAGGTTGTGATCACTGAATTTCCAGGTACATCTTTTGTATATAACTCTATCAAACTGTCCCCAACCTTGCGAAAAACCATGCTGTTCTTACTTACGACTCTGGTTTGTCGACCCTCTTCAACGGGGTTCGAACATTGACACCGTACTGTGAGGGTTCCGCAGAAATCGCACATCGTTTGTTTCGCTCTTTATACAAAGTTCCATTTTCCTGTGTCGGTTTCACAACAGCAGAATTTAACACTGCCTTACATTTTTCCAGTTCCATTTTAAGTTTCTCGATAAGCTGGTCCTTTTCGTCAAGCTCTGCTTCCAGTTCGTCTATTAATTTGTCTCTCTGGTTTAATTCCTCGATTTTATTCCTAAGTGCCAACTGGAGATCTCGAAGAGTTCCCATCTCGTCCGGTTTTCATTCAGTATTGCAAGCAATTTTTGGTTGTTGTTCTAATTCGAAATTGATAATATTTTTATCTGTAAAATGTCAAACTCTCACTATAAGTCATAAACCTTTTTAAAGCATACTTCCTTGCCGTCTTCATTTAGTTTCATCTTTGATTATAACAGATAAGCTATCCAAACACGTTTTTCCTGCTGTGATATATCCGTACCAGAATTTAATGGACTTTCTCTAATTCGTCAAGTGGCTAAAAGACTTTCTTAACAAATTTTGCCAGTTCTTCCAACTGTACATTCCTCATTGCCCGGTCTTTTGTCTTCATTATTGATGCAATAAGGACAATCTAATGTCCACGCAAAGTATATCATGAAGACGCCATTTTTCCACAGAGAAACCAATCGTTGGTGACGTCACAGAAGCCATTCATTGTAAGCTCGTGTTCTGGTAGCAATTCTGACACCACAACATGGAACTTCTACGATAGCCATCTACCAAAGCATTGTTCGTTTATCATCATAAATTAGTAACAAACAATCTCTACTGCTGTCGAAACAAAAAAAAGCTACTTCATCTCCGACTTTATAGAAGAAAAATAGATGTAAGATAAAACGTCACAAATCAGTGTGATTTTAATTTAAGGTGAGTTTTTCTCCGGAAAAAAAAGTTATCTTTATATTGTCTGTCAAATACTTTCGTCTGGTTGTAATTATCATTGTTTGGAAACTGAAGATGTAAAATTGCTGAAATTCGACTCTTTTATGCTACAAGTAATTGATTCGATCTACAAATAATTTTCTTAGCTGGAAAAAGATTAAAATACGTAAGGAGATCAAAGGAAATTACCATAATTCTACTCCACAACCATTAGTTGTACATCATATCAGATAATAAGGTTAAAACTCGTCAAAGATTTTGTTTCAATTAAGGCAGCTTGGAATGTTTCCACGCAAACAAATACCATTCGATTCGTTCCAGGTGAGTCGGCCAATTTAGCTGTTTATTAACATTGTATAATCCACTAGTAATAAACTAAAATTCAGCACCAAACTTAAGAAACACTTCATACAAACAAGAACTTGTGTCCAAAGAGGTACACGGTATATCTACATCCGAATAAGCCGAGGAACATGCAGGCAGTTTATTACAAACTGATATCAAAGAAGTATTCATGTCAAAAGCTGGAGGCGAGCATAGTCCTGGAACAGAGACAACGCATGGAAATGAATCGTGAAATACGAAGTCATTATACAAATGTATAATATACACATGTCAAAGGGGTGTATTCTTCTTTATCATCTGTTTTACCATTGGTGGTAGATGTTCCACTAGGAGCTCTAGTTAAAAAGTACATTTTAGTGATACTTCTTAAAAGTCTCTTTACAATAATAATGAGCTTATGTGACATTATTTGAATGTCTTGTATGGTATCTTATTCGTTTAGGTAGCACTGTAAGAATATTTTGGTTTATTATACCTCTGCGTATTTTTTATGCATAAAAAATATGACGAATTAACCTGCCTTTTTTCTAAACAGTCTCTAGCGTGAAATAGCTTATTTTGCTACATTTTGTATTTTGCTTTTGATGAAATTCACTGGCAGCGTTCGATTTCCCTCGCGTTTCATCTCGATCGGAACTTTCTGTCTTTATTCAGATCGTGCTTTGCACAAATTAAGTGCTAAAAATTCGGATGGTAGCAGGTTTACTGTCCCCCTCGATAGCAACTATTTCCCAAGGCTGCGCCTCGGGAAATAGTAGCAGTCACGGGGGACAACAAACTTGCTACTGTCCTCATAGCTAGAAAACAGGTGTATATAATATTAATTCATTTTAAAAGGCACCATTAGAATGTGTATGTTAATCATTTTAATGGCACTATAAGAATGTTATGCATCTTAAATGAGTCAATAAGACTATCAGAATCCATACCCATCTCCTTCATTTATTGCGACACTGTACGAATGCTTTGGTATGTTATTGCACCGTTGCAATGAATTCGTAAGTTATTCGTTTTGGTAGCACAGGAAGAAGTTTTGGTAAATTATTAGTTTTAAGTGGCACCATAAGAATGTTATTTCATATTAATCGTTTGAAGTGGCACTTTAAGCGTACTTAAGTATATTATTGATTTTCAGTGGCACCGTAAAAATGTTTTAGTACATTATTTGTATATAAAAAGGCACTCGTAACTTATTAGTTTACGGTGGCACTATAAGAATGTTTAGTACATGTTTATGTATATTATTAGTTTCAAGTGGTACTGTTAAAATATCTTCCTATAAACATTTTAAGTGGCACCGTAAGAATGTTTCAAGTGGCACCATTATAATGTTTTCGTTGAATTATTCATTTTGATGGCACTGAGAATATGTTTTGGTATACATGTATTATCCTTAGTTTCGAGTGGCACTATTAAAATGTCTTTGTAAAGTACTTGCTATAGTTGCACCTGAAGATTGCGTTTTGATATATTATTGGTTTTAAGTAGCACATGTACTATGAGAATGTTGTGGTATATCATTGTTAGTAGCGCTTCTAAAACATTTTCTAAATTATTCGTTAAGAATGTTTTGATATACTAGTATTTTTTTTAGTGACACTATAATAAGAATGTAATCGCGTATACCATTTATTTTAGCTGATACTATAAGAATGTTTTAAATGCAAATACTTTATTTAAGAATATTTTGGTGTATACATGTATCTGTTTTAAATGCCATTATTAAAATGAGTTTGTGTACAATTCGTTTTACATGGTACTACAAGAATGTGTGTTGGAATATTTTTTGTTCGAAGTGGCGCTATAATTTTTTGGTATGTAACTGATTATTAATGGAACTATTGAAATGATACTGCAAGAATGTTTTGATATATAATACTATTACAATGTGTCCATGTATCATTCGTTTAAGCTGATACTATAAGAATGCTTTGATATATAATATTATTATACCTCTGTGAATTTTTTCTATATAAAAATATTACGAATAAACATGCTATTTTTTCCAAACAGCCCCTACCGTGGAATAGTTTTTGTGCTATTTGCCCATGGTGAAATAGTCATTAAACTATTCACCGGCAGCATTCTGTTTCCCTCGCTTTTCATCTCGGAACTCTTCTGGTTTTATACAGATTGTGATGTAACACAAGTAAAGACTGCTTCGGTATAATAAAACACTTATTTACTGACTATTCGGACAATAGCAAGTTTATCGTTCCCCTCGACAGCAACTATTTCCCTCGGCTGCGCCTCGGGAAATAGTTGCTGTCTTGGGGAACGATAAACTTGCTATTGTCCTCATAGCCAGTAAATAGGTGTATACTATTACAATGTGTCCATGTATCATTCGTTTAAGGTGATGCTATAAGAATGTTTTGATATATAATACTATTACAATGTGTTCATGTATCATTCGTTTTTGCTAATATTATAAGAATGTTTTGATATATGACACAATTACAATGTGTCCCTTTTTAGGTGATAAGAATGTTTTTGTATATGACACTATTACAACGTGTCCATGTATCATTCGTTTTAGGTGATACTTTAAGAATCTTTTGATATATGACACTATTACAATGTGTCTGTGTATAAGTTTTTTGGTGATACTATAAGAATGTTTTGATATAATGACACTATTACAATGGGTCTGTGTATCTGCTTTTAGGTATACTATAAGAATGTTTTGATATATGACACTATGTATCATTCGTTTTAGCTGATACTATAAGAATGTTTTGATATATGACACTATTACAATGTGTCCCTGTATCATTCGTTTTTGCTAATATTATAAGAATGTTTTGATATATGACACAATTACAATGTGTCCCTTTTTAGGTGATAAGAATGTTTTTGTATATGACACTATTACAATGTGTCCATGTATCATTCGTTTTAGGTGATACTTTAAGAATGTTTTGATATATGACACTATTACAATGTGTCTGTGTATAAGTTTTTAGATGATACTATAAGAAGTTTTGATTTATAACACTATTACAATGTGTCTTAGTTTTTTGGTGATACTATAAGAATGTTTTGATATAATGACACTATTACAATGTGTCTGTGTATCAGCTTTTAGGTGATACTATAAGAATGTTTTGATATATGACACTATGTATCATTCGTTTTAGCTGATACTATAAGAATGTTTTGATATATGACACTATTACAATGTGTCCCTGTATCATTCGTTTTTGCTGATACTATCGATATATGACTGGCTTTTATGTTTGCCTCAAGACGTCATGCGGCTACAAAAATTAACAGAGATGCACTTTTTACAAAACTAGATTATCTCTTCACTTTCAAAGCTTAAAGTGTAAAATATCAGTTCTTCTTAAATATTTATATTAGACAGAATTTCACTGAGAAGTTGATAGCTTTATCGTTAACAAAATAAATGCATGCTGTTACAAGTTAAGAGACCATACATTTTTGTGACATATTTACATTACTATTTATGGAAATTATGATATATGATTGACAAGCTAAGGATATGAACAAAAGAATGCATAGTAGAGTTGGCAACATGACATCAGAGGCCATACTTGAGTCCTTTATCACATCTTCTATACCTCAAACCTACTGGTCATGATGACTGCTTTTATTTCAGTTACACAACAGTTATTTTTCATAATTCATTGACAATTCTGTCGTGTATCACGTACCTTTTTTACGAAATTCCCCTATGGTTTCGAAGCTGAGCTCTAGCTGCTCTTTTGACGTAATAGAAATATTGGCATTTGTTTGTAAATGAAGAGACGACTCTTTACCCACTTTGTAAACATTCTCTCAGTGCATTACCACTAAATGCATAACACTAAGAGCGATATATTCAACTTGTCAGACTTATCCACGATGTTAACCACTTTCTTGATTTTGCAACTTCCCATTCAAAACGTTCGATTGCAAAATGCAAAAGAAACAATTGCAAGTAAAAGTATGCATAAAGAATGCATTGCATGCTCACTTCTCCTCGGTAATCCTCGAAAAGTTAGAAA